ATGCAAGGCAAGCACTCTACCACTGAGCCACCTTCCCAGCCCCAGCCTGGGTTTCTTGACTATAAATGCATCCTCTTTTACCTAAATGTTTATGCAGGATTCTATCAGCAGCCTCTTGAGCATTACTTACATTAGAGAATGAATGAGCTAATCCTTTTAATGTTTTTTTTATTGTGAAAATACTGTACAGAGGGGTTACAGTTACCTGAGCAAGGTAATTGAGTACATTTCTTATCAAGCACTGTTGCCTCCTCCTTTGTGTTTCTCCTACCATCCCTTTGGACAGCAGTACGAGGTTTTCAGTTTTCACAGTAGCAAATGTCAGGTAAGGTATCCTGTAAGTAATCCCTGCTGAGCTTTAGGAATCAGAGCACTTTATTTGTTAAATGCTCACAGCACAGGGCTCTGGGTTTAACTGACTCCCTTCTCAAACCGTTCTGGACACTGGCCATAGACTTCGTGAGAGCTTTGTTTCTCTACAAGTGAGCGTGGAGTCGGGCTGGTGCAGAAGATGCAAGAAACAGGAAAAAATTAGCCGGCCAGGCTCCACCTCCACCCTGACCCGCCTGAACCCACCCGGCCGGCGCGGCTAGTTGTACCCATTCCCGTGTCCGTGCTCCACCTCTTTGCTCAGACCCTCAACAACGTCGAGACTCCGGGGTACCATCCAGCCTCCCGCCTTCCCTCCCGCCCCCTCCACCCACTAGACTCCGCCTCCACACCCGGCCCCGCCTTTACATTCTGCCCCGCCCCCCTCGGCCCGCTTAGCTCCATCTTTACACTCTCGTCCCGCCCACTCTGCCCACAAGACTCCGCCTCCACACCAGGCCCCGCCCCCTCGGCCCGCTAGGCTCCGCCCCCACACTTAGCTCCACCTTTACGCTCTCGTCCCGCCCACTCTGCCCACTAGACTCCGCCTCTACTCGGCTCCACCCAATTCCCCATGAGGTCCGCCACCACGCTAGGCCCTTGCCTGGCCACGCCCCCTACCCTTATGTAGCCGCTCTCCTCCACCCCCCCACCCACGCCCGCTTCCTGTAGTTTATTGCGAAGCCCCAGTTCTGAACCTCACTTCCGCGTCAGGCCTGCCGCCCGGGCCCGCACTGAGCCTCCCTGCAGGTTCAGGCCTCCAACTCCGCATCGAGGCCCGAGGCCCGCTTCCTCGACGTGGGCCCGCCTTCCGGGGGCGGAGCTACGCCAGGTGCAGGCCTGGGGCGTGGCTGGCGTCCGGGAGCTCCAGGTGTGGCTTCCGCATCAAGATGGCCGCCGCCTGCCGCGCCGGAGTCCGGCTGCGGCCCCGCCGCCTCTCCCGCTTCTCCGTTGGGACCCCACTGCTCTGTGTCTCTCTTTGCTTCCTGTGCGGGGCCCCAGTGGCTGTGGACGCCGTCCCCGAGCTCGGGCTCTGGACCGAGTCTGTCAGTGACGTGAGTGGGGGTGGGGACCGAGCGTGACGTGTCTTGGGCTCTCGGGCCCTCGCGGGGTCGCCCACCCCACCCGGGGTCCCTGGTACACTCCCCGATTCTGGTGGCTGCAGTGGACGCCCTGGGCTTCTGGCAGCGTCAGGCTTGTGCATGGACGCCTTTCCCAAATGACGCTCTTTCCGTTTATGGGGTGCTCCATCCCGCAGTGGGGCGCGGGCGCGGAGCCGGCGCGCTCAGGCCGGGTCACGGCCTGGCTGGTTCAGCCCGCGGGCCGCCAGCTCCGCGCCCCTCGCGGCAGGCCCTGGGCCCGACCCGCGTTCGGCCGGGACGCAGCCGCAGGGCCACGGCGAGGACGGGGGTTGCGGCGTCCTTTTAGAAAGCCCTTTATGGGGTTTGTGGTGTTAAGTAAACGGGGAGCGGCTCTCCGGCAGTCACTCCCACTGTTACTTTCCTCCTCGGGGGTTCGTGCATTTTTCTCTCCTGCTCCTTAGTGTCGGGGTTCTGTGTGGAGATGAGGTTGGGATATGAAGGAGTGTTTAAAAGGCGAGTCTGGAGGCAGGGGTGGGTGGAAACTCTTAGTCGGGCAGGCCATGAGAGAACTTGACGTTCTGTAGTTAGTGAAGAGGATGTGGGAGGAAGGAATGCAAGGGTAAAATTATAGAAAGTATTGCAAAGAGACAGGAAGTCAGGAAGAAGCATTATCTTTTGTTTATGTTGGGTCAGATGATTCATCCAGTTCTGTTTAGATGAGTATTTTCCATATGTATTGAAATTAAGTCCCAGTTCTAAAGTTAGAATTTCTTTCCCCAAACAAAATAATAATAATAATAATAAGACCTACAAATACTTCCTGCATCACAAAAGCTGTCCAATGTGTTGTTCAGACTCATTGCAGCCATTTATTACTTGTATGATTCTAATGAATTTGTGCCCTGTGTTGTGCATCAGTGATACAACCAATACCCCTTCATTACTGAATTTTTCTGAATAATAAAAAGCTACATCTGGTGAACCACACATACAGTTTTTTTGTGTTTTTTTTTTTGGGGGGTCCGGTCGTGGGGAACTGAACTCTGGGCCTGGGCGCTGTCCCTCAGCTCTTCAGCTCAAGGCTAGCGCTCCACCACTTGAGCCACAGCGCCACTTCCGGCTTTTTTCTTTTTGCTTATGTGGTGCTGAGGAATCAAACCCAGGGCCTCAGGGATGCAAGGCAAGCACTCTACCACTGAGCTACCTTCCCAGCCCCACATACAGTTTCTTGATGTTTCTATAGTGAATACAACCAAGCCAGTTATAAACTGTAAGATACTGGAAGAGAATTAGCTACATGATACTGTTAGTGTGCTTGAGCTTATCTGTAAAGATGTTTGCCAGGTAGACTGGATGAGGAGAATTCAAAGTCCATGGGAGAAAATGACTGTTTTCCCCCTGCACAAGGAAGAGAGATTGGTTAATATAATGTAATCAGGTTAACTTTATTCCTGTGTAACTGTGGCCAGCAGTGGTCTGTAAAAACCTTCTTTGCAAAAAAGTAAGTTGATTTTGTGTAAACTCTTCCCTCCTCCCCCCCCCCACTTCAACTTGTCAGACTTGCCCTTCAGAACAGGAAGAAAGTAGTTAGTGCTTTCCTTCATACTGCAAATCTGAAGAAATGGTTCTTTTGGCTATAAAGTTTGTGAAGACTTTTGAGTATCACTTCATGCTCATTGACTAGACTGGTCATTGCTCTTACAAAGATAAATTTTAGACAAAGCCCTCTTTTCTCAAGAAGTTCATAAGTAGATGCTTTATGCATGGCAGCACACTTGGAATATTATAGATGCACCAAATTTGCCACTTAATACTGCTCTCTGTAGATTCCTGGCTGGTCTCAAAAATTTTTTTAAACAACAACAACAAAGGAGTGGCCCAGACACTGCTTGCTCATACCTATAATCTCAGGAGGCTGAGATCTGAGGATCTAAAAGCTAGTTCAGATACAGCGAAAAGCAGGGGTTTTACCGTGGGGGAGGGACATACAAAACAACAAAGAAATCATCTTATAAATATGTTAGAAACAATCGCATGAAAGTAAAAAACATTTGAGTACTTATCTTGGGGTTCATTTCACCTAACATCAACATATCTGACCTTTTCTGCTTGTCTCAAACATATGCTAGTTATTACTGTATTTGATGTTGGTATAATTTGTGGAGGGGAAGGGAAAAAACAAATGGTTTAATTAGGGATACAGGTGGACCCATTGCAACAATGATATGTACAAGTCCTTATGTCGAAAAAACGAACTTTACAACTTTGGGGGGGGGATACTGGTGGGAGGCAGGATATGAGAAGGGATAGGAAGGGGAAACAAAGGAGGAAACAAAATGCTTGATAAGAAATGTACTCATTATCTTGCCCATGTAATTGTAACTCCTCTGTATGGTATTTTCATAATAAAATTTTTTTAGCTAGTTCAGAGCCATCCAGGAAAGGAAAGTCCGTGAGACTTTTATTTATTTTTATTTTTGGGGGGGTTCAGTCGTGGGGCCTGAACTCTGGGCCTGGGCGCTATCCCTCAGCTCTTCAGCTCAAGGCTAGCGCTCTACCACTTGAGCCACAGCACCACTTCCGGCTTTTTTCTTTTTGCTTATGTGGTGCTGAGGAATTGAACCCAGGGCCTCATGCATGCAAGGCAAGTGCTCTACCACTGAGCCACCTTCCGAGCCACCTTCCCAGCCCCCCCTCCCCGGTGAGACTTTTATCTCCAACTACCTACCAGAAAATAGGAAATGGAGCTGTGACTCCAAGTGGTGGAGTACTAGCCTTGAGCACAAAGTGACTCCAAGTGGTGGAGTACTAGCCTTGAGTACAAAAGCTCAGGGTCAGGGTTCAAGCCCCAGGACCAACCAAAAAAAAAAAATGGAGAGGATTGGAACAGCAGCAATGTGTGATAAATTTGTGGTACTTCTGCTGAGTGAAATGCAAAGTGTGAGAGGTAAATCACTCAGGTTTAGATAGTTTTCCATACCTGAGTTCCAACTTGAGCTGGAGACCAGGAGTTTCAAAAGTCCAGTACCTGCCTGGTTAAGGCAAATCATAATCTGAATAAAGATGGGTTCAGACTACAGATTCATGACTCTTGGAGTGAATAACCAACATGTGGATCCACTTTGTGGATATTCTAGGGCAGAATGGGCATGGAATTGTCAGTTCTCCTTTTTAAGTGAAACTGGAAACCTTTTTTTTGCATTTTCAATTTTTAAAAATAATTTTTTATTGAGATTGAGTGATTTCACAAAATTCACAGTATTGTAGCATAGTGATACTTAAAGTCACATATACATTTTAACGTTCACAAGGCAAATTGTCGCTATCGTGGTCTATTAAGTTTGTGAATTCTATATGCTTTGACAATACAACCATTTCTTCCACATCGGGTGATATGTACACTTCTCTCCTTTTGCTTACTGTAAGCTGTTCCCTCTTTCCCTCTCATTCCCTCCCTCCCATCACTGCCCTTGAGTTGCTTAGTTCCTTTTTGTCAATGTCCTGTGTAGCTGATGGGCCCCCTTCTGTTGTATTTTTTTCCCTGTTTCCCTCTGATTCTGTGCCTTCCTAGCTTCCCTCCGATGTGCGTGTATATATATATATATATATATATATATATATATATATATATATACATGTATATATGCATATATACACATATACCATTTATGAGATCAAGAACATGGAGTTATTTAGAAATTATATGACAAATTAAGTAGATATCCTTTGTTTCTTAAGTCCTGTTTACTTTGCCATATCTCCTTGCATTTTGGCTTTAGCATCCACATATCAGGGAGATGTGTGCTGTTTGTCTCTTTGCTCTTCGCTTACCTCACTCAAAATGATATGCTCTGGTTCTATCCATTTCCCTGCAAATGCTATTATTTTATCCTTTCTAATGGCTGCATAATATTCCATTGTATATAGGTACCACAATTTTGGGATCCATTCATCTGTAGTGGGGCATCTGGGGTGTTTCCATATCTTGGCTATTGTGAACAGCGCTGCAATGAAAATGGAGGTGCATGTATCCTTGTATCCTGGTTGCTGTTGTTCAGGGTAGATGCCTAAGAGTGGTATGACTGGGTCATAGGGAAAGTCTATATTTAGCTTTCTGAGGTACCTACAGACTGTTTTCCAAAGTGGTGGTATTAGTGTACATTCCCACCAGCAATGTAATAGGGTACCTCTTTCTCCATATCCCTGCCAGTATTTGTCATTGGCTGAATTTAAGATTTGGGCCGTTCTGACTAGGGTAAGGTGATATCTCAGGGTTGTTTTTATTTGCATTTCCTTTATATCCAGGGATGGTGAACATTTCCTCATGTGTTTCTTTGCCATTTTTATCTCTTCTTCTGAGAAGTCTCTAGTTCCCTTGTCCATTTAATAATTGGTTTGTTAGATTTGGGAAGGATACGTTTCTTGAGTTCCATGTTTGTAATGGATTTTAGGCCTTTGTCTGATATGTGGCTGGTAAATATTTTTTCCCAATTGGTTGGTTGTCCTTTTTGTTTGGCATCTGTTTTTAGCTTTGTAGAAACTTTTTATTTTAAGGTAGTCCCATTTGTTGAGTCTTTCTCCAAGTTGTCTCTCTCCAAGTTGTGACCCTGGGACTCTGTTCAGGAAGTTCCTGCCTGTGCCTGTAAGTTCAAGTGTCTCTTCTACTCTGTCTTGCAGTAGTTTCAGAGTTTCAGGCTTAATATTAAGGTAGAAACCTTTTTTTAAAATTATTGCGATAACTCAGGACTTTAAAAAATGCCATTGGGGCTAAGGTTGTATATAACTCAGAAATAAGAGTGTTTGCTTAGCATGTAAAGAGTGCTGGTTAAGCACTAGTACCAAGCAACGATGGTAATAATAATAATAACATCCCCCCTTGGGCCAGCATACCCCACTTATTGGTTGGACTAGGTCCTCAGACCACCAGTAGTATTTAGAGGTGTGATGAGAGAGCCAGCCATTAAGGGAGAGGTGTTAAACATAACTGCTACTCACTTTGGCTGCTATCTCAGGGGAAATTACAGGATCAGGTGTGAAGGAAGAAGTATCAGTTATGTTGTTGCAGAAGTCTAAATAGGAATGTTGAGAAGCTGAATTATGACAATGGAGGCAGTTTGGAGAGGAAAAGCTATATTTGAGAAGTGCTTATAAAATAAAATATGCTTGACAGAAAAGGTCAGATAAGTTGATGATAGGGGAATGAACCCCAAGATAAGTATTCAAAATTTTTTGTTTTTTTTTCCCTTCATGCAATTGTTTCTAACATATTTATAAGATAACTTCTATGTTGCTTTGTATGTTCCTCCCCCACGGTATAACCCATGCTTTCTCTGTATTTGAGGTTGGTATAATTTGTGGAGGGGAAGGGAAAAACAAATCGTTTAACTAGGGATACAGGTGGACCCATTGCAACAATGAGATGTACAAGTCCTTATGTCGAAAAATGAACTTTACAACTTTGGTGGGGGGTGAGGGAAGAAAGGTGGGGGGAGGGGGGAGTATGGGAAGGGATAGGAAGGGGAAACAAAGAGGAGGCAACAATGCTTGATAAGAAATGTACTTATTATTTTGCCCATGTAATTGTAACTCCTCTGTATGGTATTCTCACAATAAAAAAATAAAAATAAAATAAAATATGCTTGATTGGGGCTGAGTAATGGAGAGGAAGGAGCCATGGCTAGACAACTAGATGGCTTCAGCTTTAGATAGACTGTGGGAAGAATTGGTGAGAAGCAGAGAGGAATGTATATGGTTTCTGACAGGTCAGCCTGCCTTATCTAGCAGTAGGTAGATTCATTTTAGGCAGTTGGGCTAAGGGGTTTATTGTTAGTGTTGAAACTACCAAAAGAGAGAGGGGGGGAGAAGGTTTGGAATAGCAGCAGTGTGAGGAGAAAAGGATGAGATTACCAAGAAAGAGCAACCTGATGTTAGTTTTTTCTTGTTTTTAACTACTTGTTCATTTAATAGTGAGTGGAATAAGAGTGGTAGGGGATTGAGTTGAGGGCCTTATACATACTAGGCAGGTGCTTTATTACTGAACCTACCCAGGAAGGAGTTTATAGGCTTATAGGCTGGGTTTGGTAGGGTAAGAAAACTATGTAGGTGAAGAAAAAAATATAAGAGAAAATTTGAATAAGTTTTCAAGTTGATCAGGAAGGTCCTAGGAGAAGAAAGGGATATCATGCAATTTAGACTTGAAACATTTCTGGAGAGGCAAGAAGGCCTTGTATAGAGTCTATAGGAATTTGTTCATTTCAGTTACGGAGGTAGGTTATAACAATTTGAAGAAGGATATAGTTTTTATCAAAGGAAAGTATGTTGACTTTGTTACCAACAGAGCAGTATTCAAGTGCACAGAATTCATGTTGCATCTGAGCAGCACTTATTACAATGGCAGCAGCTCTTTGTGGGGCCTGAACTCTGGGCCTGTGCGCTATCCCTCAGAACTTCAGCGTAAGGCTAGCATCCTAACACTTGAGCCATAGCGCCACTTCTGGCTATTTCTGCTTATGTGGTCCTGTAGAAACCCAGGGCTTTATGCATGCAAAGCAAGCCCTTTCCCACTGAGCCACCTTCATGGCCCCCTGGTAGCAGCTCTTTCTTTGTGGCACCAACCCTGCTTGAGACCATATAAGGAAGCGGCATTTATGATCTCACACATGAACTGCAGAGAGTAAATACATTGGATAAGATTTTTAGCAATTGAACTGCACAATTGGATCTCCTTTTGGGTATGGGGGGAGAGGTTTCTAGGGATTGATAGTGCTTTAGCACCTGAGCCATGCCCCTAACCCTGGCTCTGCATTTTAAAAGCTGTTCACTCTAATCCAACAGAGTGCAAGGAGTGCAAGAATTAAAGTTCTGAATTTAGTGAAAGAAACTATCTTAAACCAGAGAAAAAAATTAACAAGGTCTTTCTATATTTTTCATTTCAGAAATCAGGACCTTTGATATTTAGGAAAACTATGTTTAACTCTACTGAAATCAAGTTTTCTGGTGAGTATAATAGTATAATAAGCTACAACATTAATACATATTGTAAACAGATACATTAATGTAAACTGATATAACGTAGTATATAGTAAGCTAAGTGCTTTGTTTTTAAAGTGGTGCTAACATTATAGTTTTGCTTCAGTCAAGATAGGGTTATATGCAAGAATAAATTTTTCTAATCTAATTCAGAAAATGTGATATGAATCTTTAAAAATTATAAGTAATGTCTGGTAAAGTAGGCTTTAGTAAAAATGTCTGAAATTTAACTTTAAGACCTAGACTTTAAAATAAAACTAGGTAAATTTCCTTTTGTGAATATATGGAATATAATGTTATGGTTGTGATAAAAACTTTCATGGTATTGAAAAATTTCTAAGTGTACATGATATCATAGTGTAAAATTTTCTAAACATTAGCATTTTAGTTAGAGTACTAGAGCTTATAGAAGTGAAAGTAAGTGTAGAGTGTTAGAATTATTAAAGTGAAAATAAGTGTTTTAGGTATGGTTCAAATGATAGAGTACCTGCCTAGCAAATGTAAGGCCCTGAGTTCAAATCACAGTACCACAAAAAAATAATAAAGTGAAAATATTTGCTTGGTACTATCTTTGCTCTGTAAACACTGATACACAGGTTACCAATGCTTTTTAATTTTTTAATGGACTAACATAAAAAATTATATTTACTAGATACAATTCTTGTTTTTGTTTCTAGTATCTTGACTAGGAAAGTTGGTAGCCAGAGTTAAAGCCCCAGGATAAGGAGCAATTTTCATTGTAAACTGGCCTCCCCAGGACCCAAAGTTATTCCTTTTCTCTTTCTTTTTTTTTCTCATGCTGTGGTCATCTGTTAGGGATGTTTCTACCATCAGCAGAGTCTTTCCTAAAGGAAGATGACAGCCAATAGCTAAAAGGCAGAGGTACTTTAGAAATGCTCTGTGATTTCATAGGTCATCATGTTAAGAGGAAATTGAAGTCTTGGGTAGGTAAGGAATAATTTTGGTGTGTGTTTGCTTTAATGAATTCATGTCTTAAAAGCTTTAAAAGAATCTCTGCGTAGGACTGACAACCAGATATATGGGATAAAACAAAAGCAATGAAGACTACTGAAACACAAAATTTGATGTTATGAAATCATTGCATCAGGCCTCAGAGCAAAAGTGGAGCAGTATACTCTATTCTTAAAGGATTTAAGAGCAGACGCATAACATAGTTGAGATTTAGTGAGGCAAAAACTGGCTATGTCCAATAGCACTCAGGAGAGAGGTCTTCTTGAATCATAACTGCTTATGACCTGTAGCTGGAAGGTATGGAAGAAGCATCAACTTGTGCTGGTGCTGTGCTCACTGAGCAGCCTTCTTACCACATTGGGTTCCAGGAATGCATGTAGAAAGGAGAATTAATTTGATTATTACACATCTACTTTCTAGTTATTCACTGTAAGTGAATGGGCATTGTAGTTTATAAATCTACATTGGTATTGTGGGGAACAGGTGAAATAAGGAATCTGTCTTCACAGTACCAGATTTAAGTGTCTTGAAAGCTAAAAACTGCCCTTGAATATATGTCCATGTTCATGCTGTTTTGGAAGATGAGACATTCTTTGGCTATTCAGTCAAGTAGACTCAATGTTGATACTTTATGAAAATACAAAGACCCTAAAACAATTTTGAAAAAAGAAACAAGATAAAGAGCTTTTACTATCTGATTTTAGAACTTAAATAAGCTGTAGAATTGTGACTGTGGCTGGGCGCTGTGGTGCGCCTGTAATCCCAGCTATTCGGAAGGCTGAGTCCAAGAGTTCTGGGCTACAGTGCGCTATGCCGATCGGGTGTCCACACTAAGTTCAGCATCAATATGGTGACCTCCCGGGAGCGGGGAACACCAGGTTGCCTAAGGAGGGGTGAACCGGCCCAGGTCAGAATTGTGACTGTGGTTCTGACATAGGAATAGACAGGTAGAACAATGAAACAGACTAGTAAGTGCAGAAACAAACTCAAAAGTATTGTTAACAGTCGATGCAAAAACCACTGGGGAAAAAATACATCTCAATCTTAATTCTTTTTTTTTTTGGATCCGGTTATGGGGGCCTGAACTCTGGGCCTGGGCGCTGTCCCTCAGCTCTTCAGTTCAAGGCTAACGCTCTACCACTTGAGCCACAGCGCCACTTCCCGCTTTTTTCTTTTTGCTTATGTGGTGCTGAGGAATCGAACCCAGGGCCTCAGGCATGCAAGGCAAGCGCTCTACCACTGAGCCACCTTCCCAGCCCCTCAATCTTAATTCTTATCATGGACTTAGGCACTTTATTCCCACCTTCATCTCTTTCTTCTGGGGCTCCATATGCACATATTTTAGATCACTTGATATTGCTAGATGATATAGTTCTTTTACAATCTTGTTTGAACAGTTTCTTATGACAATCCTTTTATCTAGAGTAGCTTTTAATACCGGGCTAACTGTGATCTTTCTATGTCTTTCCTGAATGCTTAATGTATTTAATGAGACCTCCACTGACTAGTGAAAACTCAAACTATTGGAAACTATGAGAATTACTAGAGAATTACTGGACTTCTTCCTATGCATAAGCAGACTGCTTTTCAGCCAGATTTTCAAGGGTACTGCCATCCATGCAGCTTTCTCTTACTCTTTCTCAGTTCTTCCACCTCTATGTAGTTATCCAAGAGATTGAAGCCCTAGAAATTCTACCAGTCTTAGCCTTTTGGACTTCTATGTATGGGCTCAGTTTTGGGTGCCCTCTGTAAGGTAACTATCCTCTAAGATAACTCTGAATGATCCTTGCTTTCTGATACTCATGGCTGTCAGAGCTAGTCTCAGTTATCAATAAACTGGTAGAGGTAGGAGCTGGGAAGATGGCTCAGTGGTAGAGCGCTTGCCTTGCATGCATGAGGCCCTGGGTTTGATTCCTCAGCACCATATAAACAAAAAGAAAAAAGCCGGAAGTGGCGCTGTGGCTCAAGTGGTAGAGTGCTAGCCTTGAGCTGAAGGGCTGAGGGACAGTGCCCAGACCCAGAGTTCAGGCCCCATGACCGGACCCCCAAAAACAAAAACAAAAAAAAAACTGGTAGAGGTAGTGTTATATCCCTTCTGAACATACATTATAAAAGTTGTTCTGTCCCTCCTTTGTTCTATCCTTGATTACTTGCTCTGTGGAAGCCAGCTGCTATGTTTAAGGATATTCTAACAGACTTTTCTAACTTTTTTTTTTTTGGGTCCGGTTGTGGGGCCTGAACTCTGGGCCTGGGCGCTGTCCCTCAGCTCTTCAGCTCAAGGCTAGCACTCTACCACTTGAGCCACAGCGCCACTTCTGGCGTTTTTCTTATGTGGTGCTGAGGAATTGAACCCAGGGCCTCAAGCATGCAAGGCAAGTGCTCTACCACTGAGCCACCTTCCCAGCCCGACTTTTCTAACTTTTATACTTAACCTTTTTCTTTTTACTTTTTCCCCCTCCAGTACCAAGATTTGAACTCTAGTATTAAAACCCTTTCAGTCTGTGTCATCAAATCACCTAGAACTTGAAACCTTTGGTGGTACTTTGTGATAAACAAAGGCCAAATTCCTTGGCAAAGCATAAGACCATTTATGAATTTCTCTAGCATTCTTTTTAACTCTTCTCTTTTCCCCAATCAAAGTTGTAACCCTATTGAGTTATCTTCAGATGGTCATACTCATGCCATGCTCACACTTAGCCTGGGTAATCTTTCTACATGGCTGACTCTTGCTTTTTCTTCCTCCAGCTAGCCTGCCTTTAACGACTTTCATATTCTCCTAGACTACATTAAGAGCCCTGCTCAGTGCTTTCTTATGCTCTATCTCAACCCCTTAATCTATTGAAAGTGCTTATAGGGAGCCCTTCCCTCCCCAATACCTCTTAGGTCATGGACAGGAATTGTTCATGTTTACTATTATGTCACTTTCTGCCTCACAGCTGGGGGCTCATTGAGTATATTTTGAATGAGGAAGAACAGTATTTAGACTGACATAGCTGTTATTTGCATATCAAGCTACTTGGTTGATTCCAGCCTTGGACTTAAAAATGAATATAGCAACTTTTGATTAATAATTTAAATGATTTTATCTGTGATTGTCACATTAAAGTAGTGTATTTTAAATATGTTCTTAAATCCTTCAGTCTGTATTAAACTATGTATATTAACGTAAAATGAAACTTCCTTTTTCTAAACAGTAAAGTCATTCAGTTGTTCTGGGCCGGTGAAGTTTACCATAGAGTGGCATTTGAAATATCATACCTGTCACAATGAATATCCTGAGCTGGAAGTAAGTAAAATGCAAATCTTCATTATTTACACACACACACACACACACACCCCAAGGAAAAACACACACACACACACTCACACACACACACACACACACAAACACACAAGGAAAAATTCGAAATATAAAACCATAATATTCTGATGAGTAGTAGGTAGACAGGCAAGAAATAGAAGTGTTCTAGGTTAATTTAGAGACATTGTAGTTTCCTTATAATTATCTTTAAAAAATATTAGTGTGTAAATCAGCCTTTTTAGGGCCATTGGTAAAAGGATTATGGATTATATAAAAATAAAAATCAACTTAATTTAAGAAGGAATTTAAAATTTTTTTTATTCAGTAAATTAGTTAAAAGAATCTAAAACTTTAGTGAGGACAAGTAAATTTTGTGTGTTCTAGAGAGAGATGGGATGGGCAGAAGGAGAATGAGAGAAGAGGAAAAAGCTGGGCTGAGAAAGGTCTCCCCGCCTTGGCTCAGAAGGCTGGCTCTTTCCTTCTGGAATATGTTGGCTTCCTTGTGTCATTCAACAGAGATGTTCTTTGATGATTTCATGATGGTACTTGGAATGGTTTCATGATTTTCAGCTTCCATGCTGAATAATGTATGAGTTTCCATATTTTATTACTATTATCTTTTCCTTTGAAGTAGGTACTGTTTTCTTTGAATGTTGCTTTTTCCTCCCCCTAAGTATTTTATTCCTTCACAATAAATACTTTAATGCCATGTTCTAAACTGAGGAAGTTTAACACTAATACAATATGATTATCCAATATGCAGACTTTATTAACATCTGATCAGTTTCTATTTAAGCAGAGTTTGTTGTCTGGCACAGGATTTAATCTAGAATCACATTAAATGTCTTGTTTTTAGTTGTTGATAATTTCAGAGCATATACACCATTTATTTCCGTAGTGTCTCTTAATTTGAGCATTTTTGAGGTATTCTTACAATCAGATTCAAATTAATCACTTCTAGAGAAATTGTGCAGAATAGTACTTTGTCCCATTTTGGCCAGTGTTAATTCAATCAGTTGAGTTTTTACTATAAAGTTAGCTTTCTCTTTGTTGAAATTTGTGGGTTTTGTGTGTGTGTGTGTGTGTGTGTGTGTGTTTGCAAGTGTGTTTTGTGTACTGGGCCTGGGGTTTGAACTCAGGCCTGGTTGCTCTCTCTGAGCTTTTTTGCACAAGGCTAGCACTCTACCACTTGAGGCACAGCTCCACTTTCTGCTTTTTGGTGGTTAATTGGAGATAAGAAAATCTCAGACTTTCCTCCCTGGGCTGGTTCAAACCTCAGTCCTCAGATTTCATTTCCCTGAGCGACTAGAATTACAGGTATGAGTTACCAGCACCTGGCTGGGAAAAGACCTTTGAACCCCTAAAGAAATTGTTTTCTTTTTTTTTTCACTCAAAGTATTCGTTTGTTTTAGCATCCTTTCATGATTCTTGTTTGATAAATCAGTTGTTCCTGGAGTGATTGCTAAATGATGATTTTCTCATTGTGTGTGTGTGTGTGTGTGTGTGTGTATATATATATATGTGTGTGTGTGTGTGTGTATATATATGTATGTATATATATAACATGTATTGGTATATTGTACTACATGGATGAGTTTTCCCTTTTCAAAATCTTGTCTGTCAATCACCAATATGGATATTAATTTTTCCTTTATAATACATGTTATAATAGATTGCTACATTTATTCAGTCTATCCTCTGTTTGGTCTGTTAGAGCCAACTTAGTTGTTGCTATTAGGAACTTGATTCATTCTGGGATATATGGAGCCTCACATTGTTGCTGTGTAATCATTTTCCCTATTCTCATGGATTAGCTACTTGGCTGCATTAGTTTTGTAAAACCTCCCTAATATAGGATAAAGTGGAACAAGATCTGTTTGTTTTATTTTTCTGGGAACGAGTCCTTTGTTGGTAATACATTTTTGTTATTACTTGGTTTTTTTTTTGGGGGGGGTTGGGGGTTCCGGTTGTGGGGCCTGAACTCTGGGCCTGGGTACTGTCTCTCAGTTCTTCAGCTCAAGGCTAGCACTCTACCACTTGAGCCACAGTGCCACTTCTGGCTTTTTTTTCCTGCTTATGTGGTGCTGAGGAATCGAGCCCAGGGCCTCAAGCATGCAAGGCAAGTGCTCTACCACTGAGCCACCTTCCCAGCCCATTACTTGTTTTTTTTTTGTTGGCCGTGGGACTTGAACTCTGGGCCTGGGCGCTGTCCCTCAGCTCTTCAGCTCAAGGCGAGCACTCTACCACTTGAGCTACAGCGCCACTTCTGGCTTTTTTTTTCTTTTTGCTTATGTGGTACTGAGGAATTGAACCCAGGGCCTCAGGCATGCAAGGCAAGTGCTCTACCACTGAGCCACCTTCCCAGCCCCATGAGTACATTTCTTATCAAGCATTGTAGCCTCCTCCTTTGTTTCCCCTTCCCATCCTTCCCCCAACACCCCCCCCCCAGCACCTAAGTTGTAAAGTTCGTTTTCAACATAACGACAAGTACATCTCATTGTTGCAATGGGTCCACCTGTATCCCTATTTAAACGATTTGTTTTTCCCCTTCCCCTCCACAAATTATACCAACATCACATACAGTGAAAGCAGGGGTTATGTTATACCGTAGGGGAGGGACATACAAAGCAACAAAGAAATAATCTTATAAATGTGTTAGAAACAATCACATGAAAGAAAAAAAAATTTGAATACATATCTTAGAGTCAGTAATATTTCTAATAATAATCACACTGATAGGAAGTAATTTGGGGTTTTTTATGTTTTTGTTTTTTGTTTTTGTTGTTGCCAGTCCTGGGGCTTGAACTCAGGGACTGGGCACTGTCCTTGCTTCTTCATGCTCAAAGCTTGTGCTCTACCACTTGAGCCACAGCACCACGCCAGCCTTTTCTGAGAAGTTCATTGGAGATGAGTCTCTCACAGACTTTCCTGCCTGGGCTGGCTTTGAACCATGATCCTCAGATCTCAGCCTTCTGAGTAGCTAGGATTACCGACATGAACTACCAGCACCTGGCCAGGAAGTAATTTATATGGCAGAATTATCTTACTCATAATTAGAGTACAAGGACAGTTGTATTCTGATCTTTAACTTTCAAATCTTCATTTTTTAAAATGTATTCGTATTAGAACTTTTCCCTCATTGAAATGAGCAATATAATTTTTTTTCCAGAATAAAGAACTAATGAGTGTGAGAAATATTTCAAACCAGGAAGGATCACTGGTAAGCTATTTTATTTGCATTTAAATTAAATGTTCACAATTTTAGTATGATTTAAAAAATTGACACACAGATATTTAGAGAATCATAATTATTAAGCGTCCTATTTTAAATAGTATGCTTTCTTATAGGCGTCTATAAATTCTACTTACTTGTCTTTGTTTAAAACTTTTTAAAAAATATAAGATGAATTTCTGAGCAGCCTTTGTTTTTTTGTCAGTCATGGGGTTTGAACTCTGGGCCTGAGTGCTGTCCCTGAGCTCTTCAGCTCAAGGTGAGCACTCTACCACTTGATCCATAGCACCACTTCCAGTTTTCTGCTGGTTAATTGGAGATAAGAGTCTCAAGAACGTTCCTGCCCCAAATGGCTTTGAACCATGCTCCTCAGATCTCAGCCTCCTGAGTAGCTAGGATTACAGGTGTGAGCCACCAGCACCCGGCTCCAGCCTTTGTTTTTTAAAAAATATAATTTTATTGTTACTAAAGTATTCTACAGAGGAGTTACCATTTCATAAGTCAGGTAATGAGTACATTTCTTTTCCTGGACAATGTCACTCCTTCCTTTGCTTTCTCCGAGTTTCCCCCTCCCGTTTCTGTCCACAAGCTACATCCTTCTTTTCCACATAGTATAATGAATAGCATGATTGCAGCCCTTCTTTCCTTGAAAAAAAAATTCTAGTTCTTGGTGTGCAAGGAAGCATACTAATAGGCTACTATTATCGTTAAGGATGTAAGGATAGAGACAGTGAATGTAACATAATGGAAGAGGGAATTTGTGCTATTTTGAGAGATTACTGAAAGTCAGAAGATTGAGGTATGATCTCAGAAGGGTTAGAAGGTATTATGTGTATTTTGGTCTTGGGGCTTGAACTCAGAGCCTGAGTGTTGTTTCTGAGCTTTTTCTCTCAAGGCTAGTGCTCTACCACTTTGAGCCACAGCACCACTCCCAGTCTTTTGGTAGTTAATTGGAGATAAGAGTCTCATAGACTTTCCTGCCCAGGCTGGCTTCAAATTGTGATCCTCATATCTAGGATTATAAGTGTGAGCCACTGGCTCCTAGCTTGATGTTTGCTTTTGTATGTGGTTTTCTATCTCCTCTTTAGGGAGCCTAAAGAGAAGACTGATGATGGGGAGGAATCCACTCTTCAATGGCCAGGACAAACTGTGTCACATGGAGTAGGAGGAAAGAAAGAGGGGATAGAAAATGAGAAGGTGGGATGTGCCTAGTTTGGGCTGGCCTTGGAAAGATTCATTAACATAATGGGACAGTTTTATTCCCCTATGGGACTGCTAGAAATATAATATCTTAAGAAATTTGAGGATCTGGGAGCTGGTGGCTCATGCCTATAATCCTAGCTACACAGGAGGCTGAGATCTGAGGGTTGCAGTTTAAAGTTATTAGCTGCAGCAGGAAAGTCCTTGAGACTCTTTTTTTTTGGGGGGGGGGGTCCAGTCGTGGGGCCTAAACTCTGGGCCTGGACGCTGTCCCTCAGCTCTTCAGCTCAAGGCTAGCGCTCTACCACTTGAGCCACAGCGCCACTTCTGGCTTTTTTTTTTCTTTTTGCTTATGTGGTGCTGAGGAATCGAACCCAGGGCCTCAGGCATGCATGGCAAGCGTTCTACCACTGAGGCACTTTCCCAGCCCCTTGAGACTCTTATCTCCACAAAACTACTCAGAAAAAGCTGGAAGTGGCACTGTGCCTCAAGTTGTAGAGCTCTAGCCTTAAGCACAGAGAGGCTCAGGGACACTGCCTAGGCCCTGAGTTCAAGCACCAGGACTGGCAAAAAAAAAAAAAGGAAATTTGAGAGTTGTAGGAGTGGCTTGGTTGGTAGAGCACTAGCCAGTAAATCAAAGTGTCAGGTATGGAGTTTGAGTCTTGGTCTCACACTAAAAAAATATTTAAATGATTTAGCCTATATATAGTTGGCCTTCAGCACCTGCAAGTTCTCCATCCATTGATTTTGCTTACATGGCTACAACCAACTGTAGATCAGAGTAGTAGGAAAACAGATTCTGTATTGAACCATGTATACTCATTTTTCTTGTCACTGCTACCTAAACAATACAGTATACCAACTCTTACACATCATTTATATTAAGTTAAAAGTAATCAGAGGTGTTGTAAGCAACTCTGGATAAGCAAATACTCTGCCATAAGGGACTTAAGCATCCATTGATTTTTTCATACCTATTTGATGAGGTGTGTTGGGCCTAGAACTAAGTTCCTCACTGATCCTGTAGTATGGATGTACTTAGACTCATTTCTCTCTTTCCTTTTTCTTTTTCCTTTTGTTGTTGTTGTTATTGTTATTATTAGATAGGGTCTTGCTATGTTGCCCAGCCTAGCCTTCAACTTGAGATCCTCCTGCCTAGCCTCCTAAGTAACTATTCCCAGTCTCATTTCTGACAATGTTATCAAATTTCCTCCTTCCTCAGCTGTTTTCCCCCCTTTTTTAACCAGTACTGGGGCTTGAATTCAGGGAGTAAGCGCTATACCTGAGGGTTTTTTTTTTTCTACCACTTGAGCCATAGTTCCACTTCTAGCTCTTTGAGGTTAATTAGAAATAAGAGTCTCATGGACTTTCCTGCCCAGGCTGGCTTTGATCATAGATCTTAGCTTCCTGAATAGCTAGGATTATAAGGATGTGCCATCAGCTCCCAGCCCTCAACTCAATTATTGTAAAACATTTAAATAAAACAGAATGTTTCAAATCATTAGGATAAAATATATGAATAGTGATAATAGTAAACATACAGTAGTAATATAGGGGGAACCTGTAGATATGTAAGAGGTGAGGAACACTGAACATGAGAACCTTTTTCTTCTGTCCCTTTGAATTGGGTAGGATGATAAGAAAAAAATGAAAGCAGTATCTATCCTTCCATTGCCTAGCATACTTTAGTCTGTTTTTTCTATTTGTTTTTTTTTTTTATAAGTAACCCAAATGTGGCTCACTCTGTAATCCTAGCTACTCAAAAGACTGAGATCTGAGGATCATGGTTCAAAGCCAGCCTGGGCAGGAAAGTCTGTGACACTCTTATCTCTAATCACCAAAAAGAATTGGAGCTGTGGCTCAGATGGTAGAGTCCTGGCCTTGAGCAAAAGAAGCTTAGGGACAGTGCCAGACAGGACAGGGACAGACCTGGAGATCAAGCCCCAGGACTGACACACACACATATACAAAAAAAAAAGTAACCCAATTCAGTTACCAAAAATTGCTCTAAAATATGGTGAACAAAGCTGGAAGTGTGGCTTAAATAGTAGAATGCTTGCCTATAAAGCACAAGACTGAGTTCACACCTCAGTACTGCCCCCCAAAAAATGAAGTGAGCAGTTGTGACTAGATCTTATATAGCAATTTATTTAAAATAACAGGATTTTCCCCATCATTTCAGGATGTTGTAGCCAAGACACAGAGGGATGGCTTTCATATCTTTATTGTTTCTATTAAAACGGACCAAACAACTGCCAGCTGGAATCTGAATGGTATGGCTAACCTACATGCATATTGCCGATGGTCTGCATTTTCTGTGTTCTGTACTTTTTGTCCTTTATCTGAATTTTTTATTGTCTGTTAGAAGCATGTCTTTAAACATTGATTTATGTTGTAAATTTATTTTGAGGACTTAAAGCTTTATGCTTACCTAAATACTCATATTTCTTTCTTTTTTTCATCAATCCTGGGGCTTGAGCTCAGGGCCTGGGTGTTTTGCTCAAGGACAGTGTTCTACATATAAGCCACAGCTCCACTTCCAGGTTTTTTTTGGCAGTTTAATGGAGATAAGAGCCTCACAAAAAGAAAAGGAAAGAAAAAAGAGACTCACAGCCAGGCATCGGTGGCTCATACCTGTAATCCTAGCTACTTAGAAGGATCTTAGGATCACAGTTCAAAGCCAGCCCAAGCAGGAACGTCTATGAGACTTATCCAATTAACTACCAAAAAGCTGGAGATTGCATTGTTTCTCAAAGTGGTAGAGCACTAGCCTTGAGCATTAGAGACAGTGCTTAGGCCCTAAGATCAAGCCCCAGAACCAGCAAAAAAAAAAAAAAAATAGCTCACAGACTTTCCTGTCTGGACTGGCTTCAAACCATGATCCTTAGATCTTAGCCTCCTAAGTAGTTAGGAAAACAGGCATAAGCCACCAGCACTATCATTAATGGATTGGAAATGTTATTATTAAGTGGAGAAAATTTTGAAAAATTTATTTCTTCAATTGAGAAAAAAACTTTGTGATTAAATTTTCAATTTCAGATTTTGCAGTGGAACATAAAATTTCTTATTTTGCTAATATGTAGAAATGTGTAGGCCACATCTTACTTGTATTTGAAGTGAATTATCTTCTCTGTTTGTTGAAAATGGCCATCAGGAGATTTAAAGATTTGAAATTATCTGTCTGTAGCTTAGGAGTCAAGTAGCATGTCTCTCAGCTGTGGCTTCCTGTGTGTGTAGCTCTTCATCAATGTGCCTCATTAAGCCTTAGTTCCATAATGTCTACAACAGTAGGCTCAATAAGCACTTTTCAAAGAGATGCTTTCACAGATTCCAGAATTTGGCTGATGATTTTCAGATGGCTGTCCACTGGGCCAACAGTAGCTATAAATAGTCTGTGACCATCTTAGCTATGTGCCTTACTGCTCTGATTCAGCCACTGTGGTCATGGAAGGGAAAATGATGCTTTGCCTTTGAGGAAGTGCTTAGGCCACTAGGGGGATTTAGGGACAGAAATTCTTGTGGTAAACAGGCATTACTACAGAGGAGGCTTGGAGCAAGTGTACTGCAGGTCTCACAAAGGGAAGCTGCTGATGTTGGCTGCTCTGGAAGTATGAAGTAGGTCTTTGTCAGGGGCCTTGCCATCATCCTGTTTGTTACCTAATTGTCTTAGACTGTTGTGTGCTGCCATAACAGAGTATATAATACTATGTAATGAAGAATTCAAATGTATTTTCTCACAGTTTTGGTAGGTTGCCTGCATCTTAGGGGTGCCATGTCTGTGTCCAGAATGATGCCCTGAACTCTGTCCTTACATTGCAGAAAGGATGGAAAGGCAAAAGAGGAAAAGTGCTGGGTCCTAATGGTGGCATCTAACCCTCTAATGAGGCATTAATACATTCATGAGGAGCTCCTCAAAAGGCCCTACTTCTTTTTTGTGGTGCTGAGAATCAAACTTAGGGCTTCTATACAAGAAGTGCTCTGCTACAGAGCTACATCTCTAGCCTGAAGCCTTACTCCTCAGTACACCACTGTGGGGATTAAGGTTTTTTGTTTGTTTTTTAATTTTTTTGTGCCAGTCCTGGGGCTTGAACTCAGGGCCTTGGGCACTTTCCCTGAGCTTTTGTCCTCAAGGCTAGTACTTTACCACTTGAATCAGAGGTCTACCTATGGCTTTTTGGTAGTTAATTGGAGATGAGTCTCATGGACTTTCCTGCCCAAGCTGGCTTTAAACTGCCATCTTAAGATCTCAACCTCCCTAGAAGCTTGGATTACAGATGTGAGCCACTGCTGCCCAGTGGGATTAACTTCTTTAAAAAAAATTTTTTTTATGTTAGTCCTGGGGCTTGAACTCAGGGCCTGGATATTGTCCCTGAGCCTTTTTTTTTTTTTTTTGGTGTTTAATTGGAGATAAAAGTCTCACAGACTTTCCTGCCAGGGCTGGCTTTGAACTGCGATCTTCAGATCTTAACTTTGTGAGAAGCTGCTTGATTATAGCCTGATGCCTATGATTCACCATCACCCAGCTTTGGTATTACGTTTTTTGGTTTTTTTTTTTGGTCGGTCGTGGGGCTTGAACTCTGGGCCTGGGCGCTGTCCCTCAGCTCTTCAGCTCAAGGCAAGAGCTCTACCACTTGAGCTACAGCACCACTTCCGGTTTTCTGGTGGTTTATTGGAGATAGGAGTCTCATGGTCTCTCCTGCCCGGGCTGGCTTTGAACCGCGATCCTCAGATCTCAGCCTCCTGAGTAGCTAGGATTACAGGCGTGAGCCACCAGCGCCCGGCGGTATTACGTTTTAACACATGAATTTTGGTAGCATCTAGACCATAGCACTGACTTGCATGCACCCTTTTCATTCTCAGATTTTGTGTCTTTTCCACTTATAGGCAAATTTAGGTTCCCACTAATTAGTAAGGAGCTATTATTCACAAGGCTTGCTTGTCTTGCATTGGATTTGTCTTCTGAGACAAAACTGAAACCAGATATATGTGTTGTGTGCCCTGTCCCAAGTGTCATTGACAAAGATAAGGCCCTCCGAGACATCAGTGACCATCAGCTAGGTGACCATTCCGAGGTCTAGCCTGGTAATCAGCAGTACTTTGCATTTGTATTTGACACTTTCGTTTTTTGGGGGTTTTTGGTTTGTTTTTTTGTTGGTCACAGGGCTTGACCTCTGGGCCTAGGCGCTGTCCCTGGTCTCTTCAGCTCAAGGCCTGCTCTACCACTTGAGCCACAGCACCACTTCCAGTTTTCTGAGTGGTTAATTGGAGATAAAAGTCTCACAGACTTTCCTACCCAAGCTGGCTTTGAACTACAATCCTCAGATCTCAACCTCCTGAGTAGCTAGGATTACAGGCATGAGCCACTGGTGCTTCACTTGTATTTGACACCGTTTTTCATAGTGACATATGTAAAAGTGAAGGTATCTTGGTAAGATTATATGTGCACAAGTAAAAATTCAATATTTAATAGCACAGTTTGTCTCTGTGGAGCTTTCTGGAAAATAAGCTTATACTTAAAGACTTAAGAAGGATTATTATTAATTAGCTCATTGTTCCTTTTCTGTCCCTTTCTGTTGCTGTCACTAGTTTCTCTTTCTATGATGGGGCCTCATGGATATATCTCTGCATCAGATTGGCCTCTAATGATTGTGAGTATTATTTGTATTTTTCCCCTTTTTAAAGTAATGAACTTTGTGTACTAAATAGGAAATTTAAAGCTTCTGAAGAGCTAGGTGTTAGAAAAATGGAGGAGAAAGAAACAAGCCAGTCTCAGTCTCAGCAGGCTAGCTCTGTTTATTGAGGTATAGCGGCAATGCGTGGCAACCTTCCTGGGAATGGAGGTGGGGTTGGAGTTAGGCTTTTATGGGGTCTAATCAAGGAAACAGAAGCTATTGAAAAAGCTATTGTGGCTAGGAAGGTGGGGACTTTCAGTTAGGCTCACAATGGAATGTTGATGGCCAGCCTTAGGTCAGATTGCCCTGCCTATACCTCAAGCATGTCCATGCATACCTGGGGTTTTGCCTGACGTGGGATAATAAGGTGGGAGGAGGGTCAACCCTAATATTCCATCTTTAGATACATAAAAAGATTGGGCCAAGAGGGAAGAGGTAAATCATTTGCTGGGTAGTACTAATCCCTCAATATCTAATGCTTTGATATACCCTCTATATCTGGTTCTAGAGTGACTGGAATTGGATACTTAAATGTAGAAATGCCAACTTTCAAATGATCAGAAGATTTAATTGACTAGAATTTCTTCTCTTCCTGCAGTTTTATATGGTGATGTGTATTGTTTATATTTTATATGGTGTGCTCTGGCTGACGTGGTCTGCCTGTTACTGGAAAGATATATTAAGAATACAGTTTTGGATTGCAGCTGTGATTTTCCTAGGAATGCTTGAAAAAGCAATTTTTTATACGGAATACCAAAACATCAACAGCACTGGATTGTCAAGTAAGTTTTGTCTCAAAAATGTACTAATAGTCCAAGAAGAGAGTGTCAGAATAGGACCCATTGGGACTAGCATATGTTCTCTTCATTTTCTGTTTTCCCTCTTATAATGTACCCTTCATTTTTCTTCCTAGAAAAATAAAATTCCCATTCTCTAAGGTTCAAAAATAACACAAGATTCTGGGTAGGGATATTTCCAGTAAGGTCAGTCCCTTGAACAGCTCTCCTTTTCTTTTTTCAATCTTATTTTCCCTTTTTTGCTGAAAAAGAAAAGGAAGATGATTTGGCTCCAGTGTGTAAAATTCAGTGGTACTACCCAGGTGGACCATTCCTATAGTCTCCATGTGCTCTTGACTCTCCTTTCAGTCCTATAAGAACTTTATATATCCAGGGGATGCATCACCACTGTACACACAGGGAGGACTACACATGTGTGCCCCAGACTGCTGCTAGAAAGTAGATTGCAAAAAGGCCAGCGAACTAAAGGTTCATTTCTACCACTGAAAGGGAGATAAGTTTAAAGGGTTGAAAATGCTTCAGAATATACTTGAGTGGTCAGTTTCAAATGATCTTGGTATAGATAGAATTATGTCCCTTATTTTATTTTTAGACATACCAGAAAGAAAAAGTGAATTTGAATATAAATAAAACTAATACAAATAAAACTTAATTTGTGGTCATGTGGATAATTGAAGTTCATGGGAATTTATTATACTGGTTTGTATTGAAGATTTTCCCAAATAAAAAGATTAAAAGGGCATGTACAGAAGGATAAAGAAGGAAATGAAGGAGGGCTCAAGTGGTAGAATACCAGCATTGAAAGAAAAGCCAAATGAGAGTGCAAGGCCCTGAGTTTAAGTCCCAGTATACACAGAGACACATCCACAGAGACATACAAAGGGGGTAAAGAAAGGGCCAAAGGTTGCATGCTAGAGGTATTACTACCACGTAAGTTTTATCAGGTGCGTGTTCACATTAGCTCTAAATCAGGTAATGATGGAGAGGTTGGGTCTGCTGATTAGGCTGAAGCATGGTTGAATGTCAGTGAAGGCAAGCTCATTTCTGTGAGCTATGATGATCTCTAGAGAGTGCAGAGGTGAGAGCAGCAAGCCTGAGATCCAGGAAAAGACTCTGTCCTCAGGGAATCTATGTTCTCCATCTGAGATGGCATCAGAGGTTTGGAAGTGAAATCCCGTGGCTTTGAAAAATCCTGTCCTGTAAAAGTTGCACAAAAGTTGGCTGATACCTTTTTGATCTTCCCAAGAAGGAATTCTGTAAAATGAACTGCCTTGGCTCAGTATTGATCCTGGAAGGCTAGAAGTTAGAAAAACCATCAGAGCTGGGCGCCGGTGGTTCACGCCTGTAATCCTAGCTATTCAGGAGGCTGAGATCTGAGGATCATGCTTCAAAGCCAGCCCGGGCAGGAAAGTCCTTGAGACTCTTATCTCTAATAAACCACTAGAAAACCAGAAGTGGTGCTGTAGCTCAAGTGGTAGAGCGCTCGCCTTGAGCACGGACAGCGCCCAAGCCTAGAGTTCAAGCCCCATGACCGACCAAAAAACAAACAAACAAAAAACATCAGAAGGACCAGAAGCACATTCATTCATAGTAGGTTGTGTTAGACTAATTCCTCTTATTGCTAGATTTGCAGTTAAGAAAATATAGCAAAAGTAGCATAGCTATATTTCTTTGAGATTTGACAGGATGGGCACAACAGAGTACCAGAAGCTGAAATCTGGCTGAGTAACTAGTTCTGCAACCAATTTTTAAAATGTATCCATATGTAAAGAGTTCATGCAGTTAGCTAGCCACTCATCAGTCCTAACAGTTTAGACCTGTGCAGTCCATTATGGTACCACGAGCCACCTACTATTAAAATTTTCAAATAAATTATTTAATAATTCATTCCCTAAGTTATGCTAGCTGTTGTTTAGGAGTCTGAAAAAGCACAAGTGGCCACAAGTTACTATATAGGAAGGCACACATGCTGAATATGTCCATCTATAATTATAGAAAGTTCTTTTGGGTAGCACTGGTTTGAAGCAGTGGTTCTTTGTCCCTAGATGCATGCATATTGGCATTCCTTGAAGAATTTTAACACGTGCCAGGTGGCTCACACCTGTAAATTCTAGTTACTCAGGAGGCCATAACAGAGGATCAAGGTTTAAAATCAGCCCAGGCAGGAAAGACCATGAGACTCTTATCTCCAGTTATTTAAAAAAAAAAGCCAGTAGTGAAGCTGTGATTCAAGTGGTAGAGCATTAGCTTAGAGACAGACCAGTAACCAAAAAAACAAAAACAAAAAAAAGTTTAACACATGATTCTTGTCAGTGATTCAGACAGAGGGGGTATCCCTAGCAATTAGGCCGGATTAGAAGCTTCCCAAGTAATCCTAATGTGCATCTAAAGTTGAGAACTATTGGGGTAGGAGGCATTTATGGGGTTTTTATTATAGATTTTAGCCCCTGTTGCCATTTTATCCTTGTGAGCCTGCTGGTTTTTTCAGCTTACACTTAATATGTACCTATATATATGGAGAGCTTTCTCCTCAGTGTTTTAGATGTTGTGAAACTATCAGGAGTTACAGATACATAAGGGCCTAGAAAAGAATCATTTTTAAAAATAGAATTTTCTAACCTGAAGCTACATAGTGGGATACAGAGAGATTTGATATCCTAAGTGGAAAGGTGAAATTTAGGGGGCATGATCTTGAACTTGGGTTCAAATACAAATTGTAGGAATATTGATGGGAAAGTTTGAGAAAGGATTTGATGGCAGACAAACTCAAGATAGATGATAATAGGATATTCACCTCCAGTGGCTCCTGAAAGATTACTGAAGGAGCAGTCACTGAGCAGAAATTGGGAATCCTGCTTTGTGGGTTAGGCTATACCAGAAAGATTACATTCATGTTACTTCAGCAGAGGTATATACATCCAAGACCCAGAAGCTCAGGGATTTTAAAATATGGCCATTTCTGCCGGGTGCTGGTGGCTCACGCCTGTAATCCTAACTACTCAGGAGGCAGAGATCTGAGGATCACGGTTCATAGCTACTCTGGGCAGGAAAGTCCGTGAGACTCTTATCTCCAAAAAAACCACCAGAAAACCTGAAGTGGCATGTTGCTCGAGAGGTAGAGCGTTAGCCTTGAGCTGAAGAGCTGAGGGACAGCACCCTGGCCCAGAGGTCAAACCCCACGACTGGAAAAAAAAAAATTCTCAACTTGTGTGATCTTAAACCCCTTCTTCATTTTACATTCTGCACTCCTTGGCAGAACTCACCTAGTGATTTCCTCCTCCTATCAAGGTGACTCTTTTGAGTCCATATATCTATAATCACCTACATTTTCTACTTAGTTTTTTATTTTTTTATTTTTTAGTTGGTCGTGGGGCCTGAACTCTGGGCCTGGGCACTGTCCCTCAGCTCTTCAGCTCAGACTAGTGCTCTACCACTTGAGCCACAGCACAGCTTCCAGCTTTTTCTGTTTACATGGTGCTGAGGAATCGAACCCAGGACCCCATGCATGCAGGGCAAGCATTCTACCACTGAGCCACTTTCCCAGCCCCATCACCTACATTTTCTAACTGCTTTCCAACTTCTCAACCTCCATGAGAGACAGAAGGAACTCATTCTTTCTTCCCTGTTGCTTGACTGCGTGATGTACCCCAGACCTTCTGCTCTCTCAGATATTCCTTTTATAGGGTAGCATTGCCACTAAACTTTCTTGCTTACCTTCTTTCCTTCCCCTTAGTCATGTATCAGAGACTTAGGGTTTCTTGCAGACAAGAGTTGAAAGCCATATGAAATGAAAGCAATAGGTAAATTGGCAGCTTTTTTTTTTAAGTAAAGATAATAGGGAAATTTGTTAGAAGAGGAACTTATAACAGAGAAAGAGAGCATGTAGCATGTACATGCCATGGAGAAGATAGGACTTTAGCCACAGCTGGTTTGATCCAGTATCTATTGCCTGTTCTCTCCATCACTCCTCTGATTGTCTGACCTGGGTTTCTGAAATACCCTCCTAAGCATTTCCCCCACTCTTAGTCTTATTTTCTCTAAGCCATTTTAGGTAGGACCATCTTAATAAAAGTCATCTATTTTATTCCAGCAACCAGCAACCTTTTTCTGTAAAGGCCATGTAATAAATATTCTTGGCTTTGAAGACCATATGGTATCCATTGTATTTAACTACTCAGCACTGCTGTTGTAGCATAAAAGCAGCCACAAACAACTGGTAAACAAATAGGCAATAAAACTTCATTTATAAAGTAGATACAGGGCCAGAATTAGTCCCTGGGCTGTAGTACTAATCCCCCCTTTATTCTTCGGTTTAGTATTACTGTCTTCCCATTACTGTTAACATCATAACAGACCCCAAGTCCCACATAAATAATCCCACCCTGTTGACCATGTTCTTGTCTTGACATCTGACATTGCTCTTTACTGCAGCTATAGCAAACTGTACATATTACAACATATATGCTTTTCCTCTTTTCTCCATGTTTTTGCATGGACCATTGCATTTGCTTTGCTCTTTTCTTTCCCCAAATATTTAGCTTCAATTTGGCCTTCAGTCCTGACTTAGGTGTCACTTTCAGTAAGTTTTTCAAGACCATCTTTCACCTCTTCCCCCTAGTCTTGAGATTACTTTACCCATCTCTTAACCATACTAAATTCTTACTTGGCCTAACCAGAGTACAAGGTCCATACAGAGTGGGACCAAAGTGTCTCTTTTACTTTTATATCTACACAGTAGGAACATAACAAATATGTTTGTTATATCACACAAGCTAGGTAAGCTTCTTAACACTGATGTGAGCATTTTAGATGAATAGGTATCAAAGGCTTCCTGGAGAAAGGAGAACTGCAAAGGACATTAGGGCTTTCAAATGAACAGCAAGAAAAGGGATGCAGTTCTGTTTATCATGAAAGTGAAAAATAAAAACGTTGTTAGGAGAAAGCTTTCCCTGGTAGAGCTGGTCAGATGTGGAGTAAATTCTTCAAGGAGTGTGACTTTCTCTTTACATCAATTGGATTAAGTGGCTTTTAAATCTAATATAGTAGCCAATAGTGTGAGTTTAGAATCTAGTTATACGTAATTTGCATTGGTTGGAAGATCTCCATATGTATATACAGTAAATTATATTATTTTTCTTCCTCTCAGCCCAAGGTTTATTGATATTTGCGGAGTTGATATCTGCGATTAAAAGGACATTGGCTCGTCTCCTTGTGATCATTGTGAGCTTGGGCTATGGCATTGTGAAGTAAGTATTAGTGCATTGGGAAGATAACCAGGTCTCCTCCAGTTTAGTGATTCAGTAGGTCTGCATAATGACTTTTATGAAACTTGAAATTTCTTAATGTTATAATACAAATGCTCATAGATTTTTAAAGTTTTAATTTTATTGTCAAGGTAATGCACAGAGGGGTGATAGTTACATAAGTAAGGTAGTGAGTACATTTCTTGTCTCACTTGTTATCCCTCCCTCATTTTTATCCCTCTTTAGGTTTTTATATTTTATATTACCTTAAAGGTTTTGAATTCTTGAAGTTGAAATCATTTTTGCTTTTTAGACAGTACATTTAAAAATGTTTAATTAAATACCATATCAGCAAGGTTTTCAAATAAAGCCTGCCTTTACTCACTGGGCACAAAAATGTGAGAACCTTTTGTCTTTACCCTCTTCCTTTTCAGACCACTGTTCTTCACAAAGAGCTTCTGGTTTCTAGAAGCTAAAGCCTTCAGACAAGACCGCTTTAAGACATAGAAATCATCCATGGACTTCCAGTTTCCCTGCTCAGCCCTTCACTCAGAGCCTTCCTTCACTGTCTTTGTCCTTAGCACTTTATGTGCCTATGTGGCTGATCCTGAGCTCCCTTCCCCACCTTTCGTGCCCTCAACCTTCACCTCATCTCAACTGCTGATTCTTGTGTTTTTTCATAGTCTCAGTTTTAGATTATATATTTTTCATCTCTCATCCTCCTTTATCTACTAGGTCAACCTCAGTTGTTTTTCACCCTGGTGTGGCCTCTGGTATTTGCCAAGAAGATCACCAAGTAGTCTGGAATAATGCTTCTCACTCACTCTTGATAAATCAGCTTTTTATCTACTTTGGGACTTACATCTCAGAGGAAAATTTGCCTGAGAACATTGGACCACACTGCCTAGGCTCACTCCATGGCTTTCTTCTTAATTCATGGCTTGATCTACTCCCATAATAATTGGTTTGGAACCATTTGCAGGAAGCTCCTACAACATGAGTTTTACTCCCTGGTGGCCATTCTCTCAGCTCGTTGCTTTTTCTGTCTTTAAAAGCAAAACCCTCCCTGAGCTTCATATATTCTGCCTCATTTCTCTTCCACCTGTGCAGCATTACTGTCCGTAACCTACTTTAGTGAGTTCTTACTGTCTTTGCTTCGTTGAAACTGCTCTTGTCAGCTCATCATGACCTCCCCTTACCTAGTTGTATGGACCTGCTCAACTTTGATCCAAGTGCCTGCTGGCAGCTTCAGTCATGGCACTTGGTTTTGCTTGGTTTCCAGCTCATTTAATATTATGCTCTCACATCACTGGCTACTCCTTCCCAGTCTCTAGTAAACCCTCTTTGTCTTCTGAGCCCAAACCTTGGAGTGTCCCTGCCTGAGGCCTTAGGCCTCTGCTTTGTGATTTGTACTCGAAGGCCCTATCATACATATCCATGACTGTAACTTCAGGATATACCCAGAATGAGCCCTTCCCATCCTGTTTGCAGTCCTTACTGTCTTGTTTGCAGTTGCTACCCTGCTCAAGCCACTGGGCTTGAAGTGGTCCTGCCTGGACCACTTCAGTTGTCTCTTCACTAGTTTCCCTGCTTCTACCTTTGGTAGCCAAACACCAGTGTCTGAGATGATCCTTTAAAAATAAGCTCTCACTACTTCACTGCTCATTATTTTGTCCAATTCCTTTCTGTGATTATTCTATTGCTATTGTGACCACTTGCTCCATCCTGCTAACGTTCTAGTTCCTGTGAGCCCTTTCCCTGAGCAGGCAGGACTTGCCTTCTCATTTCCTTGAGGTCTTTATTATCATCTCCAAGGAGCATGTCCTGTTCAGGATTTCTAGCAGTACATACCACCTGTCACTCCATTTTTGCCCTTTTTATAAGACCATTTGATATGTGATATGTGCATTGGTATTTATTGTCTGCTTCTTCTGCACCAAGATTTGAGTCCTATGGAGGCCTCTTGTTTAGTAATCTTTCTGTGCTTTATTAGCCTGGTTATGGACCCCAGGTTGTAGGGTTATAAAAGCAATAGGAGAGCAAGCTGGTGGGGAATGGCACAATGTATTTTACGAAGTGAGAATTTTTTTGCAGTTTGTGGTTCTGGTAATAAAGAGTCAGCATTTAGAGTCAGCAAATGAGGTGAATAGCCTTAGCCATGAACTATGAGCATCAGTTTAATCTGTTTTACAATGACTGTTTTAAGTATGTTCTCAAAACCAGTTTTTTCTTCAAATTACTCTGAGAAGTTTGTTTGTGCCAGTACTAGAGTATGAACTCAGGGCCTGGGTGCTGTCCTGAGCATTTTTGCTCGAGGCTGACACACTACCACTTGAGCCACAGCTCCACTTCTGGCTTTTTTTCTTTTTTTTTTTTTCCCCTGTGGTTAATTGGAGATAAGACTCTCACAGATTTTTCTGCCCAAGCTGGCCTCAAACCACAATCCTTAGATCCCAGCCTCCTGAATAGCTAGCATTATAGATATGAGCCACTAGCACCTCAGCTGGCTTCAAATCACAATCCTCAGATCCTAGCCTCCCTAGTACCTAGGATTATAGACATGAATCACCAGCACCCAGCAAAAGAGAGTTATGTATTTTAAAATATATGTGTAAAAAAAACCAAGTGGAGCTATGTTTCAAGTGGTAGAGCAACAGCCTTAAACAAAACAAACTCAGCTCCAGGCCCTGAATTCAAGCCCAGGATTAGCACACAAAATAAATAAATAAATAGCTTTAAAATAAAATTATTTTGTTTGTATATGTAAAATATATAAGTAAAACATTTTACTTAGATAAATACTGAGATTGCATATATATATATATATATATGCAATTCATATCATGTATCATCTGATTTCCCTTCTACTTCCAAATTGTTAATATAAAGCCATCTTTCCATTTTCATAACATTTTTCATTTTTCTTATATTTTTATTATCTTTAGTTGTACAAAGAAGTTGCCATTCAATAAATCAGTTTATAAATACAATGTATGTTGAGTGACACCCCTTTCATAATTTTCCTTATCCTTCCCAAACCAGTTCCTCCTCAATTTTCTTAATTTCATGGAACATGCATTGAATATTATGACTACATTCTCTCCCCCTTCCTCTCTTTATTAGTCTATATTCCCTGCCCTTGACCTCAGTTTCCTGGTATTCATTTTCTTGATTTCTCCCCTGTAAATACCATACTTTAGTTAATATATAAACTCATATTTTAAGGGTCAGAAATGTAGTCTAGTGCTGCTGGCTCTCACACCTGTAATCCTAATTACTCAGGAGGCTGAAAGCTGAGGATCCCAGTTTGAAACCAGCAAAGGCAAGAAAGTTCATGAAACTCTTATCCACAATTAATTACCAAAAAAGCCAGAAGTGGAACTTGGCTCAAATGGTGGAGGGCTATCTTTGAGCACAAATGCTCAGGGACAGTGCCCAGAACCTGAGTTCAAGACCCAGGACTGGTGCCAAAATTCAAAAATGTTATTTTAAGCTAGGTATAGTATTTCATGCCTATAATCCCAGCTACTCAGGAAGCAGAGATCAGAATGATCAAGGTTCAAGGCCTGAGGAAAAATCTCATGAGGCCCCATCTCAATCCAAAAGGGCTGGGACATAGTTCAAGTGACAGTGATGAGTACCTGCCTAGAAAGCACAGAGGCCTAAATTCAAGCCCCAGTTCTGCCAAAAATAAGACAAGTAAATGCTACTTGTTATGTTCATTATATGTCTTGAACTTCAGCAAAGACCTTGGTGGTCTCAGATATTTTTCTTCCTAGGTATCTGTACAGGTTTGGGTCCTAGTGGAAAACCTGGTGCTCCCAGGCCTGATTCTCCTGGGAACACAGAGTACACTGACTCCTATGAAGAATCCCAGAGACATGAGTACACTGATTGGATTAGACAGTACCTTCTTTGGTATTGGAAATGTTGCCTTTTTTTAAAAAAAAACTTATTAGTATGCATTCTAGTGACTCCTGTTTTGTCTGTGTCCTCTTATTCTCTCCAGGCCCCGTTTAGGAACAGTCATGCACCGAGTGGTTGGACTGGGACTGCTTTACTTGATCTTTGCAGCTATTGAAGGTGTAATGAGAGTCATTGGGGTAAAAACTGTATTAATTCCTCTACCATTTCTTTTTGTTATTGGTGTGAAAGTGATTTTACTTTATAATTCTTGAAGTGATATTTTAAAGATAAAAATTTAAGGGAAAAGATCTAATATGAGCCTTATTCTGTGATATATTTCTCTTTTGTTTTAAAATACTTCCTGAAGGAAAAGGCTAAATAAAACATTCCTAAGCTGAAATGATTGATTGTGACGGATATAGTCATATTGTCCCAGGATTAGCTCCATTCAGAAATGTGCATATTCTATTTTCTTTTTTTTTTGTCAGTCATGGGGCTTGAACTATGGGCCTGGGCGCTGTCCCTCAGCTCTTCAGCTCAAGGCGAGCGCTCTACCACTTGAGCCATAGTACCACTTAATTGGAGATAACAGTTTCACAGACTTTCCTACCCGGGTTGGCTTTGAACTGAAATCCTCAGATCTCAGCTGGGATTACAGGCATGAGCCTCTGGTGCCCGGCTGCATATTATTCTTTTAAAGAACATTGCTTCTGTCCTTACAGTCTATGCATACCTTCCTTAATCTTGGATTTAACAGCATATGTTCAAAACAGAAAGTTAAAAAGATTAAAAGTGAATCATAGCCTTCAGGCATGTAAACATTACATTTAATACTCTCACTTCTTGAGGACTTGCTATTTAGGGGATTCAGAAGACCCTACTATTAGAGTTGTCAGCAGGTAACATTCAGGTGAAGAAGATCTGATAATATTAGCACCAATATTTTACTCTCTAGAGAAACATTATTGTCAGTGAAGACCCCTAGATTCCTAGCTTTAGATTTTCTTAGTAAGCGGTTGAGGATGGAATGATTAGGAACCTTTCTATAGCTAGGGCTGGTAGTACACATCTGTTTGTAATCCCAGCTACTCAGAGGTATTAGGCAAAGATAGGAGGATCAAAATCCTAGGCCAGTCTGGGTAAAAAGCACAAAAACCTATCTGAAAAACAAACTAAGAAAAGCTAAAAGGATTGGGGTCATGGCTCATTTGGTAGAGTGTTTGCCTAGTAAGTGTTAGCCCTTGAATTCTGTTTTTAAAAACCCAAAAATTTATTGTATATTACTTGATTCAAAGAACCTTTCATTTTACCCAGTGCCTTTTAGATTAGATTTATAAGTAAGGTAGTTAATCTGTATGCTTCCATATAAATTTATTTCACATCCCTTGATCTGACATTTATTTAGTATTGTTGTAAAGCAGACCTTTTTCTATTGTTCTTGATACATCTTTCATGCTGTGTATTGTGTACCTGGTCATTTAATCTTTGAGCATATTTAGTTTTACCTTTATAAAATGAAGAACCAAATACATAAACACACAAATGTATTTCATAATGAACTTTGTTGAAAAGAAAATGGAAAAAATAAATGTCCCCCATATAAATGTAGCACATGCATTATAACTGTCTTAAATATCATTATCAGAGTAAATACCTAATTTCCAGTTTATGCCCTTCCACACAGCCCCCTTCCCTTATTTTGCTTTTTGCTTGAATTTTGTATGTCCCTTTACAATAAGTTCAGGGGAGGCTAGGAGTCCATTTAAGTACTAGCCCTGGCTTTAGGTGGTATGAAGAGGGAGGAGGTTGAAATGGCTCACCCAAGTGAGATGGGAGGCATGATGCTTTCTATTTGACAGTCTATAACAGTTTTACACTGTGATATAAGTAATAATTTTACTTAACATGAAGTAAGTTGGAACAAGTTAACATTTGCTGTTGCCAAAACAGAAGTTTTGTGTACTAAACAAATGTCTTAAGAAATGAAATATTTACAAGTGGCACTGTGGCTCAAGTGGTAGAGTGCTAGCCTTGAGCACAGAGGCTCAGGGACAGCACCCAGGCTCTGAGTTCAAGCCCCAGAACTGACAAACAAAAGAAAAAAGAAATGAACTATTAAAGTAATGAAATAAGCTAAATTGTGTTTCTTCATGACATCATAATTGCTATGCTGTAATGGAACTTACAGATTCAGATTTTTTTCCCCCAATTTTATTTTTCAGGGTTCTAAACACTTAGCGGTTGTTTTGGGAGACATTATTTTGGCAGTTATTGACTCCATTTTTGTATGGTTCATATCCTTTACTCTGTCCTTCAAGAATAGTTATTTGTATCATGAAAATCAGATTTTAAAAAATTTATAATAATGATAGAATGAAATATAAAATGATGATGTGTGAGTAGAGGGAAAAGAGACAGTATTCTAGCATAAAAATCAGGAAAGACTTAACAAAGATAGCAACATTTAAACTGAGACAGGTAGGACAAATAGGAGCTTACTAGGAAGAGAATTGGGAGAAAGGCATTCTGGGGAAAATGGAGGAGAATGAACAGTTGGAAGCATGAAACTATAAAGGGATAGTAGTGGCAGAATTCCAAGGAGAGCTTTCTTGGAGCCAAGAGAATCATGTACATGGGGCCACAAGGGAAAGTCCCTTCTGAAGGAAGAGCACAGAAAACAAATGAGGCTTCAAGTGAGTAGCATGGAGTAACATGATGAACTCTATGGTTCAAAGAATCAGATGATAGAAGAAAATGACTTGAAAAAGAGATTAGAGGCAAGAAGTCTTACTAGACTGAGGAGTCATTTGCAGCTGTCTAAAGCAGAATGAGGGGTCAGAAATGGTGTAGGGAAAATGAGGAAAGTGTAATTGCTAGACATGTTGGAAATGGTTGCGCCATTGGGATTTCCAGGGGCAGCACTGCCATTCTTAAGCAATGAATTTAGAGGAGAGGCTATAATGGACTAGATTTAGATAACCTAGGGCTAGGGCACTTAGATGAAAAATGGAGTTGGAAATTAAAGCCTTGGTTTGCAAGAGGGTTTGAATAGTTGATGAAGGTCAGGAGGAAGTTTTAACGGTGAAGAGGCTGGAGAACATATAGACTAGACCATAGTGGTGCCTTATGGGGAGAAAGACCTATCTGGGAGGAACAGCTGGTTAAAGGAGCTGGAAGAGTCAGAAACTGCCATAGTGGCAGAGAAAGAGTTGGGGAGATTAAGAGGTGATTGCCAACAGTGGCCAGTGCTTCAGAAAGCTGGTCTTGCCTAAGGCCAGAGGTCAAGATAGCCAGGAACAGAACAGATCTGTGAAGGTAGAGGGTCCCAGGCATGTTGGCAGCAGCAGAAGTTTCAGAGGCAAATGGCAACTGGGTCCTCCAGAGGCTTCTCAATGACTCATTGGTGGCACTAGTGAAAATGAAAAATTGTACAGAAAACGTGGCTTGGTTAGAACAGAATATAGATGTTCCCGAACATAATTTTTATGCTTCTTCTGTATGTGTCTTTATCAGAATTCTTTCCTATTAGATAGATTTCATATCTGTGTCCTTTCATTTTCACTGTTTTTTGCTATCTTTATTGTTTGACATTGAATTTTCTTTTATGCTTTCCTTTATTCTTTTGTTGTTGTGTTGTTGGTTGTGGGGCTTGAACCCTTGGCCTGGGCACTATCCCTGAGCTCTTCAGCTCAACGCGAGCGTGCTTCCACTTGAGCCACAGCACCTCTTCTGGTATTCTGGTGGTTAATTGGAGATAAGAGTCTCACAGACTTTCCTGCGTGGGCTGGCTTTGAACTGTGATCCTCAGATCTCAGCCTCCTGAGTAGTTAGGATTGCAGGCGTGAGCCACCAGCACCTGGCCCTTTATTCTTTTACATTTTCTCATCTATGTGCCATACAGAAAGGGCCAGAGGGCTTGAACTTGCCTGAATATCCTCTCCATAGGAAAAGTCTCCATTTTTGCAGGCCTAGCAAATGCAGCACTGCCGAGGGACTTCTTAGAGTCCCATGTGGTTTGTTTTCTAAGCCTGACCTGTCCCTTTTTGCTTTTTTTCTTTTGGCAGCATTGGGGGTTGAACTCAGGACCTCACACTTGCTAGGCAGGTGCTCTCCTACTTGAGCCATACTTCCAGCCCCTTTTTCTATTGGTTATTTTCAATGTAGTGTCTCATTTCCAGGCCAGCCTTGCCTGTGATCCTCCTCCTTATGTTACCCCATGTTGCTGGGAATGACAGGCATATGTCACTGCTCCCAGTCACTGTGTTTTTCCTATAGCTGGGATAATAGGTCACTGTGCTGGGGCATTGCCTAGGCTGGCCTTAAACTGTGATTCCTAATCCCAAGTTGGTAGGATCACAGGCTTGAGCCACTGTGTCTAGCCCATGTATTCCTTAAAAAACTTATGAATTCCTAGTATCCTTCCAGTTAAAATTTTTTTTTGATACTGGTGATTGAACCCAGGGCGATACACATGCTAGGCAAGTGCTATACCACTGAGCTACATTCCTAGGCACAAACAGAATTTTAATTTACTCTTCAGAGAAGTAGTTCTGAACTATATTTGAACTAAGATTCAAAATGAGAAAAGCCTTTGAAAAATCTGATGAAAAATGTAGAGCCTCCTTTTACAAAGCATACCTCACACAGGAGCCATTAAAATTTCCTGAGTTAGGTCTGAGAATACGGCTTAGTAGTAGAATGATTTTCTAGCATGCATGAAATCCTGAGTTCGATTCTTCAGTACCACATAAACAGAAAAAGTTGGAAGTGGCTCTGTGGCTCAAGTGGTAGAGTGCTAGTGTTAAGCAAAAGAAGCTCAGGAACAGTGCATAGGCCCAGAGTTCAAGCTGCAGGACTGGCAAATAAAATAAATAAAATTCTGACTCATGCATGGGTCCATTCAGAATCTGAGAAGCATAGTTATAAATAATACCTGATTTTAAAAGTTAGTTCTGACTGAACTTGCTTTAAAAGCTTGCTGTATTTATATTCGCAGCTATTAGTTTAGATTTAGAGTCCAGCTTTACTGAATCAAATGATAGGTAAATAAATCTGCTCTTTCCAAAAGTAATATACTTAACTTCTTCGTGTAACCTTTTCACTCTTCTACACTAGAAAATATGTAAAGATACCATGTAAGCAGTGCACCAGCTCTGTGCCGGGCTAAGTTCTGCTTGACTGCACAGCATATTAGGGTACACACTGTCCTGAGGAAAGGACAAGAGGAGTAAACACACCTGGAATTGGGAGGGTAGAGGTTGATTCGAATCTCTAGATTTTACTGCCTTACTTTATTTCCTGTGTTTAGAAAGTGAGTCTAAGCAATCTATTCAATTTGGATTGTCTCTTCTTGCAAATTGTTTATTGCTTGAAATTTTGACCAGTAAAAAAATTAAATTAAATTAAAAAAAAATTTGGAGCTGGGCACCGGTGGCTCATGCCTGTAGTCCTAGCTACTCAGGAGGCTGAGATCTGAGGATCACAGTTCAAAGCCAGCCCAGGCAAGAAAGTCTGTGAAACTTTTTATCTCCAGTAAAGCACCAGAAAACCGGAAGTGGCGCTGTAGCTCAAGTGGTAGATCGCTACCCTTGAGCTGAAGAGCTGAGAGACAGCACTCAGGCCCAGAGTTCAAGCCCCACAACTGACCCCCCCCCAAAAAAAATTTTGTTTTGACCAGTAATTGAGCTGTACACTTTGCACTTTGAAAGAATTTGTAGTATTCTTTGCCTTGGTGATTTGTAGATATGTATATCAAAGATTTCTTTTTAAGTATCCTCATTGTAGTTCATAGAAAAAACATCCAATGATACACTACAGAAAATTCCAGAGGAGCTGCTCCATCTTCTCTACAATTCTTTGGCATCTGAATTCTCCCATTGTGTGGCAGCCTTAACTTTAGGACATGCCAGAGCCAAATTGGTGTGAGAAGATAAGGAAAGCACAATGAAATATGTGATTTACTTAAAATAGTCATGAAGAAAACTAGAAAGTAAAATTATCTTGTTTAGTGCTTCATGGTGGGAGAAAGAAAATCTAGTTTCCATTTCCACTTGAACTTGAATTTGTGGGGTTTACCTTCAAGTTTTGTAAGTTTTGATTAAAGTAAAAAAAGTCCCATTTTCTGTAGGAAAACCAAGTTTCTAAGTGATTACAAATGACAAGCAAAAACATTTAAAAAAGGACTATTGTAAATATATAGAGAATTTGATAATGACCCTACCTTCTCTGACTTTAATAAATGCAATGTTTAAGTATAGCCAATCCTGTAAGAATCTTAACTCTATAATCAAGTATTAGAAAAATTAGCCTGGAAAATTCAAAGGCTGTAATGTTTGTCATGTCCCCACCCTTCCTGCTTATTTGTTGGTTCCTGTCTTTTTTGCTTTTTAATTTGTATTGCTGTTTTGCTGCAGGCGAATGATTCTGATCTTGTTCTTCTGGCCAGCCTCCCCCTGTCTCTCCTTGACTCTGGCTTGTGCTGGTGGATATCCTTTCTTACTACAGTAGTTCCTGCCATTCTCTTCTCACTGCAACCCTGGGATGAAGCAAGCTTTTCTAATGCTTTTCTTTAAGAGATTGGGGGTACAAGGGTGGAGGGGGGATGTGTGTGTGGGGGCAGGGGATGGCTTAAACATCACCTAACTTTGTAAGTATTTTATAAACAAACCTTAAGCAGTTTCCAAGATGTTTTTGATATTTTTATTTCTTTTTTTTGTCTTGGGGTTTGTACGCTGGGCCTGGGCGCTGTCCCTCAGCTCTTCAGCTCAAGGCGAGCGCTCTACCACTTGAGCCACAGCGCCACTTCCAACTTTTTGGAATAAGAGGACTTTCCTGGGTGGCTTCAAAGCATGATCTTCAGGTTTAGCCTCCTAAGTAGCTAGTCTTACAGCTGTGAGACACCTGATGCCTGGCTGGCTGGAAATAAAGTCTTTCAGTTATTGAGGTATTTAGAGTTTAAAGTGGACATAAATATGCTACTTGCATTTTTTTGCTCAACTCTGCTATTGTGTCTGCCCTGAAGAGGGGTTGCGTATGAGGGCAACCATCTCCCTGAATCCTGCTTCACTGCTAAGCTGAGGACTCAGTTTAAAAAAGTCCTTATGTTGTCGGGCGCTGGTGGCTCACGCCTGTAATCCTAGCTACTCAGGAGGCTGAGATCTGAGGATCTCGGTTCAAAACCAGCCCGGGAGGAGAGACCGTGAGACTCCTATCTCCAATAAACCACCAGAAAACCGGAAGTGGTGCTGTAGCTCAAGTGGTAGAGCGCTGCCTTGAGCTGAAGAGCTGAGGGACAGCGCCCAGGCCCAGAGGTCAAGCCCCACGACCGAAAAAAAAAAAAAAAAATGTTTCTTCATCTTAGCAACGTTGACTTTCACCTGAGCCCTGTGCTCCTGGAAAACAGAAATGGGAACTCTGTTCCTCTTCCCCACCCCGGCCCCATCTGTGTTTTGGGAACCCCCTATTGCAGAGAAATGCTTTTCCATACAAGACTTGGGTCAGACTACAAGATAACTCCCTAGCTTACCTAGATAAAGCCAGACCCAGACCCTCAAAATTTCCCCTTGTTCACTCATAAATGATTAATTGAATTCTGCATATCCACTGGCCAATCTGAACAAAAACTGACCTTCCCAAAGCCCTGAACTTTGACTCACTAATAGCTTGAACTGGCACACAACCTTCCATATGGTCCTCTGCTGAGAACCACAGATCTTAAGGAAAGACCTGGACAGTGTGTCCAGTTAGGCCACCCACTCCCCATTCCTGCTGCTTTTAGCCTTGTTTCTTGCTCTCTTGAAGCCCTTTTCTTGGGCTTTTGGGGCTTGAAGATCTTACAGTTCTAGTATTCCTCTAATTGCAGGAATCTTCTCCCCACTACAATAATCTTCCTAATGAAATCTCTCCCCTGCTTAGTTCAGATTTGTTTTATTTGACATATTTCAGGTTTTTTTAATTTATAAAATGGAATTGATAGATAAATTGACTTCTTAATTATATAACCTAAGAATAGCCTAAAAGAAAGGGATAGAAAGAAGAAAGAGAGAAGGGGGAGAGGAAAAAAGGAAAGGGGAAGGAAGGAAGGAAGGAAGAGAGGGAAGAAGGGAAGGGAAGGAGAATGGAAGTAAAAGAAGAAAGGAACAAAGCACAAGAGGCACAGGGCATAGGCAGGCAAGGAAGAAAGGAAAGGGAAGGATGAAGGGTGGGAGGGAGCAAAGCACAAGATGCACAGGGCAAACGCATGTGGTACTGCAACCTATCAGAAGTGTCTGAGCTGAGAGCTCAGCTCAGCTGTGGTGCCCTGGGCTGCAGGAGCTTGCCTTTCCAGGAACCCATCACAGGTCTTCTTGCTTACATTGTTTTCCTTTGAACTTTGTTCACTTATTTCAGAAAAAAAAGAATTATAAAGCAAACTCTGTGTAACATGAGTATCATGATTATGAATATTAGGATAATATTTTGTGTTTTTATTTGCTTAAATTTAAGGAGGTATAGTTGTGATTAATAACTTTGGAAATATATTAGAAGACCTCTTCTGTTTTTATAAACAGTTCATTATCATTGAAAATGTTTTTCCTTAACTCTTTTCACATTTTCATAAGTTTGGCACAGACTATGAAGACTCTAAGGCTAAGAAAGAACACAGTGAAGTTTTCATTGTATAGACACTTTACTAATACTCTTATATTTGCTGTACTTGGTAAGCTATTTATTTTTCTTACTATAATAATTATTTTAGGCTGGGAAGGTGGCTCAGTGGTAGAGTGCTTGCCTTGCATGCATGAACCCCTGGGTTCCATCCATCAGTACCACATACACAGAAAAAAGCTGAAATTCTGTGGCTCAAGTGGTAGAGCACTAGCCTTGAGCCAAAGAAGCTCAAGGGCAGTGCCCAGGCCCAGAGTTCAAGCTCCAGGACTGGCAAAAAAAAAAAATTATTTTAGTGTTACATGTTGTTTTAAAGGTAACTTTGTGTCTTTCAGCCTCTATAGTGTTTATGGTGTGGACAACTAAGACATTTAGAATTGCAAAATGCCAGTCCGTAAGTAAAGTTTCCTATTAAGCCCTTGTCATTTTTAGTTATACTATTTTATTTTGTGGAATTTTCTTTTTAATATGGTAATTTTAGTAGAAATTTTCCTTTTTCTTTGAATTATTTTGTATAGAATTATCAAGCCTTTTGTTTCTTTTAAATGAATCTGAAAAAGGTCATACTAAATTGCCATCTCCTATCATGTCTTTTTCCTCAACTTGTTTTCTTATATTTTGAAAAAGAATTCTCTTCTTACATAGTTTAAGAGGAAATGGATAGGGTAATAAATAGCTCAGAGGCAAGGCCCCTGCCTAGCATCCACCAGGTCCTAGTATTTGATCTCCAGCATGCTGAACAAGAGAAGAAGAGAAGAGTTCTTCTTTCCCTTCCCACCCCACTGTAAGATTAGGTGATACTTTCCTCTCCCCTTCAAAGCATTGTTTCTCCTTGCCAGAGAGAACCAGAACCTTTGCACCTGTTAAGCATAACTCTACCCAAACAGGACCCTTTTGTGTCTGACCTGTTTCTCTGATGATACTCATCTTTGGCAGGTGTTCCCCATAGGTTCTCTATGAGGGAGAGCAAATACTTCTTGAGCTTAGAATAGGAAAACCCTCTTTTGTGGTTTACAATTCAGATTGTCACTAATTCTACATGAGTAATCAGAATTCTGAGCTGCTCTGTGTTTAGGACAGTTGAATGAAAAAGGAGGCAGAACCTTCTGGAAATTCCTACCGTTTTCTTATGTTTGTATTCTTAACTTGAAATTCTAAGTATATGTTTTAGATTTTTTTGTTTCCCAAATCTTTCTGTTAATTTTTTTTCTTGTAAAGGTTATACTTTTATGTACTCAAATTAATATGCAACCGTCTGAAAATGACACTTTTAGGGTGATCTAGCTTCTAATAGATTTCCTTAATGAATGAATGCTGACATATTCTTCACCTGGGATGAATTGTGAAGAACATTCAAATCTGTTAGAAGAGCATTCTGGTTTGGAATCACTGTCAGAATTTCCTCTTGAAGTATGGGTGCTTTGAGACTTAACCCTAAAATGTTATGGAAGTGAATGTATACAACATTAAACAGGTCTTTAAAACTTGAATAATACAGACTTGTTTATTTGGTTAAGAAATATCTTTAGTGCTTGACATTATTTACTGTTTGAATGGAAATCTAGATGTCTGTCAAAAAATTAACTTTTCATGTTTAAATTATCCTTTAGGACTGGATGGAGCTCTGGGTTGATGATGCATTTTGGAGCTTCCTTTTTTCACTTATCCTTATTGTAATAATGTTTTTGTGGAGGCCATCAGCAAATAATCAAAGGTATTTAATTAACATTGGGAATTTAAGTTGGCAGGCATTTGTTGATTTTCTATAATGTCAAAAACACATTCATAAAAACTATGAGGAAGCATTTCTACTTTTAAGCAGAATATAGTCAAGTAAAGAGTAAAACCAAATGCAGCACTGAAGAAGAGATGCATAAAGCAGTACAGGGAAGGTGGAAAAGGGAAATCTTTAAGACAGGAGTAGAATAAGATTGAGCTGTGAAAGAATGCATGTTTTGGGGTTATTGAGAAAGTATAACATGGTATAGTATGGAGGCCAGTTTGGTTAGTACTACACATTGAGCATCCTTTATCCAAGATGCTTGGTATAGAAATGTTTTCAACTGAGAATTGTTTAGATTTTGGAGTATTGTTTAGGCTTTGGACTTTACTGGTTAAGCATCCCTAATTTAAAAATCTGAAATCCAAATGCAAGACCTTATTAAAAATATAACTAATACCAAAGAGTTTGGGAGGTAGTTGTAGAGTACAAGGCCCAGAGTTCAAGCCCCAATACCTCCAAAATAATAAAAATAAATGAAGTAGATTATTTTTATCATCTTATAGAGCTACCACACAATACTTGTTTTTCCTGTTTTGCTGGTATACCTGCTTTTTAAACTCAGTCCCTAATGTTCATATGGCTTGCTTGTTCAGCTGGTACTCTGCCCCTCAGTGAGCTATTATACCCTGAGCCCAGCTTTTTTCCAGGTACTTTGCAGATGATGTTTCTCAGACTTTTCTGACTGGGATAGCTTAAACTGAGATCCTCCAGATCTCATCTTCATGAATAGTTAGGATTACAGGTATGAGCCAAGCCAGTGTTGCCCAGCATACCACATTGCTTTTAAAGGCACAGTATAATGTGAATGTAGCAACTTATAAAAGTGATCCCCAATTATTAGATGTTGTAAATGGACATCTATCTTGGCTTGTGAAGCAAAAACACCCATAAAATTAATAGGTAATTGAAAAATTGTGAGCCATTGCCCCAGGAAAGCCCTGTGAGACTCTTATTTCCAATTAACCACTAGAAAACCAGAAATGGCATTGTGGCTCAAAGTGGTAGAGCACTAGGGACAGCACTCAGGCCCTGAGTTCAAGCCTCATATCTGACAAAAAAAATTAATAGATATTTTAAAAAGACCTTTTAAGGGACTGGGAAGGTGGCTCAGTGGTAGAGTGCTTGCCTCGCATGCATGAGGCCCTTGGGTTAGATTCCTCAGCACCAAGTAAGCAGAAAAAGCTGGAAGTGGTGCTGTGGCTCAAGTGGTAGAGCGCTAGCCTTGAGCTAAAGAACTGAGAGTGCCCAGGCCCAGAGTTCAGGCCCCACAACTGACCCCACCCCCCAAAAAAAGACCTTTAATGAAGTTATATCTATTAACAATCAGTAGAGTTTTTGAGAGGAAGGTGTGGGTATAACTTAGTGGAAGTGGCTCCATCCATGGGTTTTATTTTCACCGATTAGATTGACACCTCTTTTATGAAGGGGAAAGCTAAAACATGGTGGGCAGGGAGGTGCACTTGTCTTGGAGAAAGAAGTACATCAGAAAGTTCCCTTGTATTTTGCAGACTTGCTTCTTAGATAGATTTTAACTGGTTTTGCTGTATCAACAGGACTTCAGAACTTCCTTTTCATAGTTTCTTCATAGTAATTCTAGCTAACTTGTGAGTAGCATATTTTTATTATTTTAATTTTTAAGAAACTTTAAAAAATGTAGATCTTTAAAATACATATAATGAGGGCTGGGAAGATAGCTCAGTAGTAGAGTGCTTGCCTCCCATGCATGAGGCCCTGGGCTCAAGTGGTAGAATGCTAGCCTTGAGCTGAAGAGCTGAAGGACAGCATCCAGGCTTAGAGTTCAAGCCCATGACTGACAATAAATAAATAAATAAAATAAATATATAATGACCATTTTAGATACAGAATGAAAGCTGAGGGGATTCAACCACAATAGTGAACCTACTCCTTGTTTTTGTATAGATATGCATTCATGCCCTTAATAGATGATTCTGATGATGAAGTTGAAGAATTCATGGTAACATCTGAAAATTTAAGTGAGTGATATTTTTAAATTAAGTATTGTACATACTGTAATTGCAAGATTGTATATCTATGATACATGGTCATATATGTCATTTAAAGTCTTTTCAAAATATTTAAAGGCTTTTTAAACCATAGAAACATTTATACTAATAACAAGACAAGTTAATAGTTAACATTTTGAGATTATAATGTAGTTTGAGCTCTGGTTACTCATTTGCTCTTAAAGTACTAAAGCAGGTAACTGCTTTTCCACAGGATGGTGTGGGTTGTCCTAGGCTGAGAGCCTGGAAAGTATTCGTCTTCCAAGTGGTGATTGATGAGTTTCTTCTTGATCTTTGAATTGTTTTTATACTTTCCTGGTCATTCCCAGACCTTTTCTAATTATAGTTACATTGCTGTTTTTATTTCAGTCTTTGTTGTTGTTGCTCGTACTGGTATTTGAACTTGGGGCTTCTGCTTGCTCAGCTGGTACTTTACCACTGAGCCATGCTTTTAGCCCAGCTCTTTGCTACTTATTTTAGAGACAGTTTCCCAGACATTTCTGCCTGACCCAGCTTGAAACTTCTATCCTCTGGATCTCAGCTTCCTGAGGTGCTAGGATTTCAGGCATGAACCATTGGTTCTTTCATTCTTTTAATTTCTACTTAACATTTTCTCATTTTAATTTTATTATAATATTCCAAGTAAGCATTTGTTAAGGCAACATAAGTATGTAACTTTTATTTTGATAGTATTTTTTCTGTTACATTTTGCCTTTTAATCTGGCTTCTCTTTGTTAGCTATATTACTTTTCATTTGTTTTGTACTGTCACTTATCTAAAATACCATCAACTTATGTTTAGGCCTACCCAGGCAGCAAAAATGGTTATGTAGTTAGTGTGTCTCTCTACTTTGTTTTCAACTTTTTTCATCTTAGTCTTATCTGCAATTAATTTTGTATGTTTTTCTGTCCTTATTAAAAGAAATCTGAAAAGTTTTCATGATTAAGATATTAATCATGGACTGTATGAAAGTTCTGGCCTCCAGTAATAATGATAATTAGGTGAAGTGTATTGGACAGATTTTTTTTGTATTGGTAGCTAGTCTCAACAAGATACTGAAAAAACCACCATTTGAAGCATATAAAATTAGTGACCTATATATTCACCTTAAGAGTGAAAAAGTGAGATTAGAGTTTTTAAATGAAAGAAATGATGGAGTTAAATGCTGCAACAAAAAATACAATAGAGAAAATGAATAGAGTCAAAAACAGTTTCTTTAAAGGATTAGTAAGAATTCATTTGCTGCTAGGTAGCCTAAGTGAGAAATAAAAACAATACAAGTACCAAAAGACAGATTTCTAATGTTGGAAATAATAGGACATTACTGCAATATAAAGGGGCATGTAAAGTAATACCATGAACAACTTGTTTAATAAGTTGCAATTGGATGAAGTAACCACTGGGAGGCATACTTCCCAACCCGTTCATAAGGCCAGTACCACTTAGATGCCAAAATTTCATAAAGACATTACAAGAAAAATATTATAGACTGATGTCATTAATTAATGGAAGCATAGAAATCATTTTAATATATTAGAAAATAAGACTTAGCAAAATATGGAAAAACTATCATCATCAAGAGGAATTTATCCCAAGGCTGCAAACCTGTTATAACTGTTTGAGAATCAAACTCAGTGTAAGTCAGCATATTCAAAAAGAAGAATGGCCAGTAGATGCATATAGAAAACAACTCAGCAAACCATAGAATGCTATGAAAAAACTTCCCAGCTGGAACTATCTTTAATAATGAACTAGTTACTGCTTTTTTTTTAAACCAAGATTGTACTTGCATGTGACTATAGTTAATAATTTATTAAAAATTTCAAAATAGAGGATTTTGAATGTTCCTGACACAAGGAAGTAATAGCTTGTTATGCAACCTGATTTGATCGTAATTTCATTAAATGCATGTATTGAAAAGCGTACTTTACCCCATAAATATGTACAATATATTATGTATCAAGTTTCTTAAAAACCTATTTACTTTTTCCACCTCTTTTCTGCATTTCCAGATGACAAATTAAAACCAGAACCCTGGCCAAAAGTCACCACTATTTTCCTGTAGAAAAAAGAACTTTTTCTTATTTTTTTTGGGGGGGTCCGGTTGTGGGGCCTGAACTCTGGGCATGGGCCCTGTCCCTCAGCTCTTCAGCTCAAGGCTAGCACTCTACCACTTGAGCCACAGCACCACTCCCAGCTTTTTTCTTTTTGCTTATGTGGTGCTGAGGAATCAAACCCAGGGCCTCATGCATTGCAAGGCAAGCGCTCTACCACTGAGCCACCTTCCCAGCCCCAAAAGAACTTTTTCTTAATGGCTTATAAAATGTGACGGTAGAACCATACCATTTTGTAACTTTATACTGTTTCTCATTATAGCTGAAGGAATAAAATTAAGAGCCTCAAAAACTGTTTCCAATGGAACAGCTAAGCCTACTTCTGAAAACTTTGTGAGTACTGTGTTTTCTAATAGTCTTTATACCTCAGAGATCTGCCATTGTCCTGTTTATCAGTTGTCATAAGAATATTAAGTATTGTTTTGTTTTATATTGCTCGGTATAAAAATACTGTTGCCACATTACAATACTAGTTTAACTTCTTAGTGTGATAAAGTGGTTTTTTAAAGCCTTTTTTTTTTTCCTTGTCAGTCATGGGGCTTAAACTCTGCTGTCCCTTAACTCTTCAGCTCAAGGCTAGCATTCTACCACTTGAGCCACAGTGCTACTTCTGGTTTTAGGAGGTTAATTGGAGAGAGGAGTCGCATAGGGACTTTTCTGCCTGGGCTGGCTTCAAACTGTGATCCTCAGATCTGTCTCCTGACTAGTAAGGATTACAGGCATAAGCCACTGGCACTAGCTTGTAATTCTATAAAATGTGTTCTTTGACTTGTTTTATGATAACTAATGTTTTTTGAAATATTATTATGGTTTTAGTTACCTGGTGGCAAAGCCATAGGTAACCTTTCTGTAATCTGGACATATGGAATCCCAAGCTGTTGAATGAAGCACTAGTGCAAAATTCCATAAAATTCTTACAAATGTATAAACGATTACCTTCCTGTGCAGAAAATGTCTATGAACATAAGTGAATTTCATTGTTTAGAGTTGGGTCCTCTCTCTAAGGTAACTTAAAGTTCAGTATTTGTAAACATTTCATGGGAATGATTTTTATTAAAGAAAAATCCTAAGTAGGAAGATCTGAGTCTGAGGCTAGCCCTGGACCAAAAAAAAAGCAGCAAAGTAATGCCTGATGCTAAAAGAGATGGTAAACCCTGACTTCAAACACCAAGACTGAAGAAAAAAAACTTGAACAAACTAGTAGTAGTGTGAAGAAAAAAAATTAATACAAGACAATATCTTGCTAGTTCTTCTATTTCTTGTCTTTATATATTTATTACAGTTTCTCAGGACACAAAACAAATTAACAAACTAAAATAAAACCTCTATGCATTTAGGTAAAGCCAAGCAATACAGAAATCTGAAATCAGTTTCTGGTTTGTCAATAATTGGGCATAATTTCTGTATGGTATATGTTCGAATTTTTTTAGGATATGTGTATCAACTAAAAGATGTCATATGCATTTGAGTTTAAATACTTAGGTTTCACATTCCATTAGGAAATTGCACATTTAGATGATATTAACTACATGCTAAATATGAATATATTTCTACAGGATGAAGATCTGAAATGGGTGGAAGAAAATATTCCCTCTTCATTCACAGATGTGTAAATATCCTCTTTTAAAGTATAAACTTCAGGGTGTGGTTTAAAGGGATAGTCCTTTGCATTGTGGTTTTTCAAAGCTCACTTCTCCGTATGTTTTTATATGCTCTCCCCACCCATGAACAGCTGATGTACTTCTTACCAATCTACCAAAGCCTTTACAGAAAGCAGAGTCCTGGCTGAGGCTCTTTCCCCTGTATCATTATCAGCAATGATCTTAATACTCAGATCTCTGTCAAACGCCAGCCTTTTCTCCCCTACAGTTTTCAAGATCCTTTTGCTGTTGTTTTAATTTTCTATTATGGAAAAGTTCGAACATTTAAAACTTTAAAAAATGAACAACATATAAACACCATATCTTACATTGTACGGTAGCTTTTAAAGGCGTGTCAGCATAGGAAATAGAGTTCATTGGAATCTTCTCTGTGAATTTGGAACTTCAAGGTCCTCCTTATCTGTGTCCTGTTCCATGCAAATTCCAGACAGATGTTTCACAGTGAAGGCAAAAAGAGCCAACTATGGTAACTTTCCATACATCAGTCCTTACTTTCCACTAGTTTGGCTTCTGTTTAGACAGTTCTGTCTAGTATGTTTAGTATGATAATCCTTTTGCTTGTGTTGTTTCCTTTGTATTTCTTCTAGTACAAGTGTGCCTGAAATGAGTCTGACAATCTATGGTTAAACAAGTTTCGTTTGAGTTGTTTTTGTTGTTTTGTTTTTTGGTTAGTCATGGGGCTTGAACTCTGGGCCTGGGCACTGTCTCTGAGATCTTCAGCTCAAGGCTAGCACTTTACCACTTAAGCTGCCGCGCCACTTCTGGTTTTATGGTGGTTAATGAGAGATAAGAGTCTGCCCAGACTGGCTATGAACTGCAGTCCTCAGAGCTCAGCCTCCTAAGTAGCTAGGATTATAGCCATAAGCCACCAGTGCCTGGCTTGTTTGAGTTTTTGAAAGTTGTTTTTGGTGGGGTGTAAAATTTGTGGTAGATAGTTGTTTTTTTTTTCAACATATCAAAGAATGTCATTTGACTAGCTCCTGTTTGTTGGAGTTTGAGGAAAAGTCTTCTTTGTCATCCTATATATTATATGGGTTTTATTTTATGTGGTGAATTTGTTTTCATTTCATTTTTTTATCATTTTATCTTTTCAATTTTATGATGATTTTGGATAGGGTGCACAAACATTTCTCTTGCCATATACCTAGAAGTGGAATTGCTACATTATGTAATTTTTAACCTTCTAGGGGATTGTTAAGGATTTCCAAGTAACTGCTTTATTTTATATTCCTGTCAGTAAGATATGAGAGTTCCAGCTTCTCCATGTCTCTGCCAGCGCTTGTTATTGGCTCCCTTTTTATGTTATCTCTGTCAATGGCTATGAAGCATTCTCTCATTGTGGTTTTGATGAGCTAATCATTGAACTAAGTGGTTGAGTGACTGGTATTAGCTGAAATCCATGCCTAGAACTGATACTAATCATACATTTTTCCAATCAGCAGAAAAGGAAAATTTGTGTATGTGCATTTCTTCTTACCTTCCTGTATTTCTCAGCTAAGTACTTCCTCCCATAGATCATTCTTTATTGTTTCTTGTTATATGGGTTTACTAACAACATATTTTCTCAGTTTTATGATAGGGAAAGTATATTTATATTGTCTTCCTTTTTAAAGGAGAGTACTATGGATATAGAAATCTGGACTAACTTGGGTACTCAGCACATCTTTCATGACCTTCATGACTTTGACACACAGACTTTTGTTTCAGGCTCTCCTCCATAAAGCTCCATTGCAGGCTGAGGCTACACTAAGCGCATTGAATATTTTTAAATCTCTGGTTTTTATTTGTATTACCATTCCTCAAAAGTTTGTTTTATTTCTGTCTCTTTTTCTTTTTCTCGCGTTGTTTCACACATTCTAGAGAGTACACACATCCTAAATAGGTATGTCGCTCCCAAATTGAAAAATAAATACAAAAATGGTAATATCCTAAATTTCCTATTCCTATTGCCTTCCCAGAAAGGGAGCCTACTTTCTCAAAGATCCTGTTGACACAATGCTTTTTTTTTTTTTTTTTGGTTGGTTGTAGGGCTTGAACTCTGGGGCTGAGCTCTGTCCCTTAGATCTTCAACTCTTGGTGAGCACCTGCCACTTGAGCCACAGTGCCACTTCAGGTTTTCTGGTGATTAATTGGAGATAAGAGTCTCACAAACTTTCCTGACTGGGCTGGCTTTGAACCTTGATCCTCAGATCTCAGCTTCCTGAGTAGCTAGGATTACAGGTATAAGCCACCAGCACCCGGCTGACACTCAGAACTTTTAACTATAGGTTCTGTCAGGTTTTAAAACATTATTCCTCAAGGGCTGGGAAGGTGGCTCAGTGGTAAAGTGCTTGCCTTGCATGCATGAGGCCCTGGGTTCGATTTCTCAGCACCACATAAGCAGAAAAAGCCAGAAGTGGCATTGTGACTCAAGTGGTAGAGTGCTAGCCTTAAGCTGAAGAGCTGAGGGACAGTGTCCAGGCCCAGAGTTAAAGCCCCATGACTGACAAAACAAAAAAACAACAGCAACAAAAAAAACTTTATCCCTCAACCACTCATCTGTTTTTTTTGTCTGTATAGTTTTTAATTGTGTAACTGTTCCACAATTTGGTCCCATTTGGCATTACTCTTAAGCACTCTCACTTTTTTCTTTTAGGGCCCTTCCAGTATTAGTGGATTCAGATGAGGTAACACATTTTTACTTATCTACTTAGAACTGTTATTTTTATTTTCAAAAGTAGAAATGTATTTCAGAAAGAAATTCTGAAAGATTTTTTTAAAAATTATTGGTTGAAGAAATAGAAGGATGCTATGAATTGATGCATTCTGGTAAAGGATAAAGGATTTATGTATCAACTATTCATTTGAAACAGAAGCAAGATAAATGCTTGTTGGTGTGAAAGAACTTTTCTGAGTTTTTAATGTGTGATTTTTCTAATATTTTGTATATAGGATAAGAGGATTTATTTAACTTAATTAATTAATTAATTGAGTCAGTCATGGGGCTTGAACTCAGGGCTGAGGTACTGTTCCTGAGGTTTTTTTTTTTCTCAAGTCTAGCATTCTACCACTTTGAGCCACCGCGCCACTTCCAGTTTTTCTAGTGGTTCATTGGAGATGAGAGTCTAACTTTCCTGCTTGGGCTGGCTTCAAACTGCAGTCCTCAGATCTCTGCCTCCTGAATAGCTAGGATTATTATAGGCGTGAACCACCAGTGCCCAAGAAGAGAATATTTTAATGTGGCAGCTTAATCTTTGATACTCTGATATCTTATGAGCTTAGTATATGAAGTTTTTCTCACTTGGATTTACTGAACAAATTTGTTTGGATTTAGGCAAGTTTGTGGAAGCAAGGTCAGTTACAGGGCAGGGTGAAGTGTGAAGTGTAGCAATGAAGGGATAAAAACATGGAACATCAGCTCATATGATGGAAGAGAAGAGAGGGAGAGTAGTAATGTCTTGGTGGATGTAAGATATAAGGAGAGCAGGGCATGGTGTGGTAAAAGATGAGGAAAGCAAGTTTTGCATCTGGGTCCTGATTTAAACACAGCAGAATGAAAAGGCTTAGGAAGGCCACACTCCAGTTAAACTTCAAGATTTATGATTCTCTAAATTCATGTGCTACAGAATTATTTTTAAAGGATTATTTAAAATACTCATTTGATAAATAATTGATTTATAGTTTTAAAAACATTAATTCAGTGAGATGAGCTAAGCCTGAGAAGTCCATTTTAGCTCAGTTTCTGCCTCTCCCTGAAGAGCTAAAACTTGGCATGTTTTCCAGGTAGCAGAAACTGAAAATTCTCTGACCTTCTCAGAATAATTGATTACATTGTTAGAGAGGGTCTGTTGCATGGTTTTTTATTTTCTGCATTGTATACTTTCTCGTAACTATGGCTATTGAAAAAATTAAATTGTGATTTTTGCAAGAGCAAATGATTTTGTTAGAGTTGGGTATATCATCAATATCTTAACACAAATTTTTTCACTTTCAGGAAATTATGACCAGATCTGAAATAGCTGAAAAAATGTTCTCTTCAGAAAAGATAATGTGATTGGAACCTGTGTAATTGAAACTCAGTTAATGGTAAAGGATCATCTTTCGTGAAGACTGAAAGAGAGCTTTGTTGTGATATAACGTAATAAGTTCTCACTGTGTTAGTTATCTTGGAAGTCTTTTTATTAAACTGAAGAATTCAAGTGGGAAGATTTTTTTATTGTTGCCATAAAGCCAACTTTTAAATGTCAGCTTAATTTCTTTTACCTGCCTGGATTTGGAAATAATCTGAGAAAAGTATTATGACACTGAGATATGCACAAATACTTGTTAGGTGGCAGTGACAGGAATATGGATTTGGGTCTTCTTTTCTCTGGAAAATATGACTATTTCAGATTTGTTTAAATTATATAAACACTCCTATTTTTTCTTCTCATTTTTGAGATAATGTATTTTTGAGGTGTACTGTATTGTCTCCATCTTGTAGATTTATAGTTACTAGATTCAATGATAATTTTTTTTACTTTTATGCTAAAGTGATTTTGGATGATAAGGCATGATTTTTATGTGTTTCATTTTGCCTTTAAAAAAATTTTTTTGTCTGCACAAAGCTCTTATTTGGAAATATCACCGTGCACATGAAATCATGGAGTTAGATCTTCCCTGAGCTCAGGGAATACAAGTACACAAGGAGAAAAAAGTCTTGAGGGTCAGTTCCAAAAATGTGCTCTGCCATTGTTCCCTTCCTCAGGCCTCCAGTACACATACTGCTGCTAACTGTAGGGCAGTTGATGGACCCCAGGCCACATGGTTCCCTAGTGCACTTTAAACCCCAGGGAGCTGGCAGCCCCATTCCTGGTGAACCTCCTAGGAAGCACTGTATTGTTTACATTATCTTAGCATTTTCTAAATCATAATAAAAAGATAATTTAACTTCAGAGGATTTTATAATTAATTTGTAATCTATTAATCTTCAACTATGTTTTATACCTTATTTTGTTAGCGTTTGTATTGTATGATTTGAGACTTATCTTTCAATCTCTTTAAAATGTACACTGTTCTAGACTTGAAAGGCAATTGAATGTAACATGATGAAAATGTGAATGTTTTGCTGCTTTCATAACCAAAGATGAGGGGCTGGCAGACATTTAGACTAGTAATGAAAGGCAGACTTCTGGATGTCTTTTCTGTGAAGATCTAACCTTGTGAATTGAGAATAACTTCAGAGAACTTTGATTGTAAAAACATGAACATCCTAAACAAGATTAATAATGTATAATTATTTTTATTCTGAAGCTGCAGAACAATTTTTTCTTTTTCTTTCCAAAGTCTGCTTTCTGGAATTATTTTATTTCAGAGAGGTTATTAAAGAATAGGGTTTTTTGTTTTGCTTTGCTTGTTTTTTTTTTTTTAAACTGGTAATGTCTCTTGAAAGATGTTTGCATTTGTGATTTCAGTACTGAACATTTGGAAAGTGATAAACATCCTGGTAAGCATCACAAAGAAAGGCCTGGTTATCAGGATGCCATTCCTTACCTCACTGCCTTCCTCAGTGGTGGGCTTCCTCCCATGTGCGTTCCAGCATGTTGTTCCTTCTGACTTTTAGTGTGCTTGTTTCAGGAAGCTGAAAGTGAGGAGCCTTTTTTGTTTGATTTGGTTTGGAGACAAAGTTTCATTATGTAGCCCAATCTGCCTTTGACTCAATAGTTTTCCTGTCTGCCTCCCAAGTGCAAGGGTTATAGGCATATACAACCCAAGCTTATCTTAATGTTTTTATCTAATACTTTACCCTGGTTTGAGACAATTGGTCCCAATTCATGAGTCTAGTTGAATATTAAAATACCGAATGCATAGCTAACAGCCTGTGGGTTCTGTATATTGAGTGGGTGGGAATAGGGAGCTGATTACCAGAATGACAGTGGGTTAAAATGTCTCTGCATAATCTCAGTAGTGTTTATCAACACACTTCTTCCTACAGCTGGAAAAGCCAGTGATGCTGCTGACACATTGGTGGCTATGGGCTGAAATGCAAACTTTTCCTTCATCCAAAGAAAGCCTCCTCAGAAGCATTTTTAGAAGAGTATTGCTGTATCTGTCACTTTTAGTGAGAATTGTGTCATCTCTGGATGTTTGATAACCTGAACTGAGTATTCCCACGAGGGCCTGCTTAGCCCCTGCAAATAAGCAAGGAGGTACCCTGGCACCATTACCACAGCTCCTGTTGAGGCTAGCAGGTACCCTGTCCTCCCAGGCCCACTGCACAGCACCTGTCTCATCTACTTGGAGTCCCAGTCTGGTTGTCAGCACCTCGCAGGTACTCATATCAACTGACTTCTAGTGATGAAAGGGTCTAAGGATAAGGTCCAGTTTCATGTGTTTCTGGACAAAATTCTCAGTTCTTTTGTTACATCATTCATAGGTATATTTGATGTGAAATTTGCTTAAGAAGAACCTTTCATGGTTTGAATTAGCGTAGTATTTAAATACTAGATACCAGAATGGGAAAGATTGGACTGACCCATGGGCCATATCAAGCCTTCGAAGTCATTTAGTCTGGTCCTGCCCAGCAAGATTCAAAATTCAATAAATCTGGTTTTTTCCATAGCACATGAGCATTGATACCAGCTAACATCATATGCCAAATGGTCCTTGAAGAAAAAGGCTCTGCACCTCTGATTTAGAGGCTAGTCAATTTAGTTTATTGCGATAAATAAGAAGAAAAAAAAGGGCTGGGAAGGTGGCTCAGTGGTAGAGTGCTTGCATTGCATGCATGAGGCCCTGGGTTCAATTCCTCAGCACCACATAAGCAGAAAAAGACGAAGTGGGACTGTAGCTCAAGTGGTAGAGTGCTAGCCTTGAAGAGCTGAGGGACAGTGCCCAGGCCCCACAACAGACAAAAAAAAAAAAGGTGAATGTCTGTCTTAAGCCTGAGGTTATAGAATGTCCCCATACTGATTCTATAAAGGAAATAATTTTTTATATCTTTGCTATCTTGTAGTTCTGATTTTCCCATCTGTATTACAGCATATCATGTTCTCACTATAAAGTCTCAAAGTATAAAAATGTACATAGAGGGTTAATTTTTATATTCTCCTTTTGGGAAGAGGTTTGCATCTATTGCCTTAGCTATTCATGACTAAAGTCAAGAGACCCTGAACTAGTTTTTGTCTCTCATTCCAGCACTGTGTCTTGTGATTGGCATGCAGGAAGACAATATGAAGCACCTTATACCTATTATAAGAGAGAAATTTAGCATATTGTTCAAGTTGAGCAAATGAAAAGTATATATGTGACAAAACTAGATTTTTAAGGAAATGTACATTATAATTTAGGAACTAAATACTACTAAAACTAATTTAGGCCAGGCACTGGTGGCTCACACCTATAATCCTAGTTACTCAGGAGGCTGAGATCTTAGGATCATGGTTCAAAACCAGCCTGGTCAGGAAAGTCCATGAGACTCTTCAGTTAACCACCAGAAAACTGGAAGTGGTGATGTGGCTCAAGTGGTAGAGGGCTCGCATTGAGCCGAAGAGCTCAAGGACAATGCCCAGGCCCAGGGTTCAAGCCCTACAACTGAAAATAAAGAAAGTTAGTGGCTGGGAATGTGGCTTAGAGGTAGAGTGCTTACTTAGCATGTATGAAGCCCTGGATTCAATTCCTCAGTACCACATAAACAGAAAAAGCCAGAAGTGGCACGGTGGCTCAAGTGGTAGAGTGCTAGCTTTGCGCAAAAGAAGCTCAGGGACACTGTCCAGGCCCTGAGTTCAAGCCCCAGGACTGGGAGAAAAAAGAAAAACTAATTTAGAATCAGTAGAATATCACTTGTTTTAAGGTAGAACTTTAGAGGTTGGAAAGTTGTATTTTTTTATTTGAAAGGATTAAATTATTTTATAAAATTGGAAGAAGTTTCTTTGAATATAGGACATAGAAGCTCAAAGAATTTTTGCTTGAAAACTTGGTATATCTTTGTGCCTTAATATTTGTTCTTTTAGTAAAATGCTTTCTGAAGTTTGGGATGATTGATTAAAATCTATCATGGAAATAGACTTCAGTTGATGGCAGTACATAAAATTTTAACAAGAATTTTTCCAACTAATCTTAGAAAATGTGGGTAAGTATGGTGCTGCACACCTGTTACCCAAGCATTCCGGTGTTGAAGGGTGATTTTTAAATTCAAAGCCAGCCTGGCCTGCCTGGGAAATTCAAGGCTAGCTTGACCAACATAAAAAGAACCTGCCTCAAAACATAGACTCAAAACAAAATGTGTATCCAAAACAAGTGAAATAAGCCAGGCACCAGTGGCTCACATCTGTGATCCTAGCTACACAGGAGGCTGAGATCTGAGGATTGTGGCTCCAAGTCAGCCCTGGAAAGCAAAGTCTGTGAGACTTTTCTGTCCAATTAACCACACAAAACCTGAAAGTGGCCGTGTGGCTGTAAGTGGGGGAGCACTAGTCTTGAGGAAAATTGCTCAGGGACAGCACCCAGGGTCTAGTGACTTAAGGCAAATTGCCCTTAGGTGTTAGTTTATAGCTGGCTGGCCTTAGGCTGAAGTTAGATGTAAATGATTTTGATAATATTTCTTCAGAATTGCTTCTGAGAATAAAAATCTATGATGAAAGTTTATGTATAGAAAATACTTCCAAAAAGTCACCCAGCAGGTGGTGCCAAAGTAATGTCTCAGAAGAGTTCTAACGTTAACTCTCTCCATAATTCTTGCCTTTAAAACATATAAATGTGCTTTATTTACCAGATGTCATGAGCCAAATTTGGATATGAAAGAAAGACTTAAAAATAAAACATTCTAAATTTTAAAGTGTTAAGCTTTAAAAAAAAATACATTTAAGTGTCAGAGATGTGGCTCCCTGGCAGAGCACATGCCTAGCATGTGCAAGGTCCTGGGCTTGGGCTTCAGAGCCACACATAGAATGTTTAAAAATATGCTGCGAGATGATGACTGCATGTGAAGATAAATAGACTTTGTGTGTTTTGCTTACCTCTTACTGTATCCTTACATGTGGCTGTTGTTTCCTATTAGCCTCTAAACTCTTGTCTCTGTGGAAGATTATAATTCTGGTTCTTGTTTATTGATTTTATAAATGGAGATCTCGGGGTAGAATGGAGTCCAGGGAGGTAACAACAGTATGTGTTTTGTTTCACCACTACTGGAAGTACGGAAAATAAAATATTCCATAAATTT